ATCCATTATATTTAAGGACAGTATTTCAGGATTTCCAAGTAGACAAATGTTCAATTACCATGCGTCCATTAATCACGTGAGATTTTTAGGTAAAGAGGGGAAGGGGGTTTGGCAAAAAATCACAAAATATCATGTGGGAGAGGGAGGGGTATAGTAAGACATCATGCGTATTTATTTCTTACTATTTTTTTTAAAAAAAGTTCAAATATTTTCAAAACAAATTCAAAAATTTTACAGTTTTTTCACGAAGCTAAAAATACAATGATGTTTGATGGGGGAGGGGGATAATTTTGAATTCATCATGTATCACCAAGGAAGAAAGGGGGTCCAAAAATTCTTAAAAACTCGCTCACGTGGTTATTGGACGCCCCCAATACCTAACAGGTAAATTACCAGAATTATTGCTGATCAAGAAAAGGGGCACAACTGTACCCAGTCTCTCCTATATTGAATGTTAATAAAATATTTATTTCACAAAGTCCGGTCCTGTGTTCAATGAAGTAATGTACAATTTTCAAAAATTACTAGGTCACGTAATCTAGTTCTTCATTTTTTATTTATCTATTTATTTAACGATAAATAAAAACAAGTATCTCCATTAATAATTTCCGCGTACCGAATCGATTACAAAAACGAGAAATATATGCAAATAACTAAAAAAAACGAAAAGAACGAGTTGAAGATGAAGATGATACGGATAAGAGACTTTCTTATTTTGACATGGTAACTTTTTAAAAAACCGTTAAATTAAATCGTTATACTTATATAAATATGTAATAATAATTATGTGCCTGAAAGCAGGTCCATGAGCTGAAGTAACAAAATCATCCCGTTGCCTTTGGGGGCGTCCATTAATCACGTGAGGTTTTCAGGGAGAGGGGGGGAGGTCTGACCAAAAATCACAAAATATAACGTGTGGAAGGAAAGGGGGTCCAAAAATCCTTAAAAACTCGCTCACGTGATTAATGGACGCCCCCTTTGCACATCGCAATGCATACTCACGTACTTTCAATTGTAAACATATTTTTAACTAAATAATTAGTCAATATGGGTAAGAGCAGGGGGCAATATTGATAATATAGGCCCAAGATTTAAATATGGGTTAGAGCAGGAGGCAACATTGGTAATATGACCCCAAGATTTAAATATTGCCCCCACGATTTTCCTACTCTCTGGCCAAGATTCATTTCTACTGGGGTTATAACTGGTAATGGATATCGCTTCTGCATGACGTAAAGTTCTCCTATTATACTTGTTGCTCATATTGAAAGAAAATATTTTGCATTACTAATATGAAGTATTTTAAATGCCACACAAAAACTATTTTTAACATTAATATGGGCCCAAGATTTAAATATTGCCCCCACGATTTTCCAACTCTCTTGCCAAGATTCATTTCTACTGGGGTTAAAACTGGTAATGGATGTCGCTACTGCATGATGTCAAGTTTATACTTGTCAAGATTCTACTTGCTGCTTATATTAAAACAAGATATTTTGCTTAAACCACTTATGTGAAGTTTTTGAAATGCGAGTTTTTGAAGTGCCAAAATTGAAAAATTACAACTTATCTTATCTTACAGGTAAGATAACACAGCAACTTATCCTAGTATATGAGCCTGAGTATCTCGATTCATTCATTAATGTTTAATCTTATTTATCTTATTACTTTTTTAAGAAAAATTTCCGAATCAAGACCACATTTCACATCTCCGTGTCTCATTTCTTGATAAAAAGTGACACAGATTTTTAAAACGAGTTTTTGACGAAAAAATTACATTCAATCACATGTCTGATTGAAATAAAAAAAATCTGAAATAATAAAAAGAACTTGAAATTGATTAGTGTACTTTTTCCACGTTTTTGGCTATAACTGAATTTATAATTAAGTTTTTCCAAATCTATTCAAATATATAAAACCTAGATGAAATTCTTGACAATTTGTACTTATGGTAGGTATATGTTGTTATTATAACCGGTTCGGTTCTTTTAACCGGTTCAGAACCGAAGATGAATCTGTCTGTGAGAATTTGCTCATGATACATGCGAAGTAACGGTACTTGTATTTATTTCTTTGTGTTAAGCAAAAAGCTCAATAATATTGAGACAGGTTTTGATGAAAAAATTATATTCGAACACCTTATTTATATATACAGTAAAACCCTGTTAAGACAATTTTCCAGATACCGTACCATAAATACGTCTTATGCGGAAAAACGTACCATGCATATGTTTCAACGTGCAGGAACAGGCGTGATTTAGCGTTTAATGCGGGAAATCGTATTAGGCTTGATCGTATTAACGTGTAAAATATACTCAGTAACAAATTATTATTGTTATATCATTAATATTTTATTATGAGTAAATGAAAGTCTTACAAAATATATTAATGTTTAAAAATTTTCACAGTTGGTAAAGTGTTTTTCTCCTAGTTTTTTTTCTTTTTTTTTTTTTTGAACATTATTTTTTGGAATTGAATTACAAAAACTTAAAAAACAAAAGAAAACTAAATTAAAGGACCAACCCCTCGATAAAATAGAGCGTAACACAGCGATGTCATAGCAACGAAAAATTTAACTAGTAATGCATGGCATCGTGCCTTAAGGCAACTTCCCTTTGTAGAAAAAATGTAAATTGGACGACGATGTTTCTATATGTTAACATGAAAACTAAATAAACAAAACCTAATCAAGCAAAGTTAGATTTAAAGGACCTTGTCTCATATTTCTATGAATTATATAAATTTATTTAAAGTATATAAGTGAACTTCGGAATTTTAGCTAGAATTCGGAATCCAATTCATTTTCAATATAATAAAAGTAAATTTAAAAAAAATAGAATTTTGAAAAAAATGTCTCCCCAAAAACTGGTCGCTTCTTCACAAGCAAAGTTTTTTGAATCATTTAAATCGGATGCTTAGTTCTCTTAAAATCTGCAATTTTTTGTACATTTAGCTCTGTATCTTCAAAATGCCTGTCTTTGCCAAAATAGAATCACCACGTCTTCTCATCATTACGAATTGAATGTTTTCCGAACCATTCAAATCATATGCTCTATTGTCTCAAAACCTTATTTTTTGCACTTTTTACTTTGTATCTTCGAAACGGCTGAACTGACCTTTTCCAAAAACTAACCAGCACATCTCCCTATCAATAGGAATCGAATGCTTTTTGAATTATTCAAACTGGTTTAGCGTCGCTCCCGGAAACGTGAACAAAAAATTATATCCATACATACACACACATACATTCGTTTTTTAAGGTATGCCAAAATGTTCAGAAACCTCTTAAACGTGAAGATATGCAAAAATTTTAATTTTCGATTTTCGGCCTATTACTACAACTACTCTACGGAAAGTTAATAAGTCAAGGGGGCACCTCTAAATATCAAAAATACACAAAAGTGTAAAAATGTAATGATTATGTTATAAATTGTGCCTTAAAACACTATTATTTGCATCTTGAAACAAATTTAAGTTTATTTACCAAATTTAACACATTTAATTTTAAATTATTTGTGAGGCAAAATTAACCAGCACGAGTGCTTATCGAATTTTATCGAATTTTCAAATAAAAAAAACGTAAAAAGGTGCTGCTCATTTTTTCAAACAGTTTCTAAATGTTTCAAAACGATGCAGGATTTTTGGCTAAAATGTGTACGAAAATTTGTACACTTTTCTATTGATTAGAAGCGGCTTGACCGATTGTCGCACAAAACTGAAAAGCGGTTAGTTACATCAAATGAATTTTAATTTTTTTTTAATCAGCACGATTCCCAAATGATATCTTTCAAAAAGTTTCTAAATGTTTAAAAACGATGTAGGATTTTTAGCTAAATCGTGTACGAACATTTGTACACTTTTCTGTTGATTAGAAGCGGCTTGGCCGATTGTTGCCGACTGACAGGCGGTAGTCGTTTATCTAGTTACATCAAATGACTTTTAAATTTTTTAAATCGATTTAGCTATTTTCAGAGAAATCGTTGGCCAAAGTCAAAAATCAGCTCATATACACACTTTTTTAATTTTGGTCTCAAACGATTCAGAATGACTAGAAACGTAGAGAAAACAAAAATTACAAGTCAATTTATTTTGTGAGAACATATTTGATATTTTCCTATTATGGTATTTTCAAGGGCGGCCAAAAAATGCTCGCACGCAGACGGCCACATACCCAGGCACGGCCCTGAATAAAACGATTATTAAACAAAGCTCTATAATACAAAGATACCTCAAAACCTGATAAAATCTAATCAAGGGGGCTTCAGAAGACTTACAAACAGTACAGATCAATTAGGGTCCAAATCTGAGATACCATAGACAATAACATATCGTTGTTATGGCAACGCTAATTTATTCTTCTTTCTTGGTACTAAAAACTGTGAAAATTTGCAACAAAAAAAATAAAAAAAATAAAATGGAGCCCTAAAATACAAACGACACTTTAAAATAATCTCTGGTAAATATATATACTTTATATATATATATATATATATATATATATATAAAATAAAAATTGTTATATATTATATAAATACATAAATGAAAAAACTGTCAAGGGGGCACCTTCGTCAACAAGTAAAACATTGACACAAATTGTAACTAGTACAAAATATTTTTCAAATTTGACATTTTTAAATAAATTTTGTATGCATTAGCGTTATTTAAAACATATAAACGTATTTAAAACTATTTTTAGTAATCATATATTAGAATATATGAAATGGGGACCTAAAAACATAACTTTATGAATTTTGTGACAAACCAAAATAATTAACCGGGACAAGTAATATATATTAATATAAGTATGTATAATATTTGTAAGGATATATACATAAATATTAACCACGTTTTATATAATTTATCCCGCCGGCAAACAAAAAAACAATTCCTCACAATCCATATACACATTTTGACAGTTGTCAAAAGAAAAGTCGCCAAACAAAAGACATCGTAATTTCCAATAAAATATATAATACATATAGAAAAATAAAAGCACTAACCTTTATCAAGTGATCCTTTATACTTCTTACACTAATTAAACCTATAAAAACACTTTAAAAACTAAAAAAACTACTAACAACTAACATTGACATTACGCTAGCAACCATTGCACTGAACGCGCCGCCATGTTGAAAAATAATTTGACAGTTGAGAGGAAAAAAAGTAAAATAAATAATTTTTATTAATTTACAAAATTATAATTTAAATTTAAATTTAGAATTTAAAATTTAACGAAATAAGCATAATCTAATTACAAAAACATTTGACAAATGTTTTTCGTATAAAATTTTGTTAAGAGTGCAGACTTTCCTGCAATGTTGGTACCGTGACATTTTTGACATTTGTTTTGACAGCTTGTGTGTAATGAATAAATATAAATAAAATAATAAAATACAACAAAAGCTCAGGTAATAATTGATTTTAAACAATTTATAATAATGACTCATTATGTATATTAATTATATTTATAATAATGATATCAATAATTTTGATACCTTTGAAGCCCCTTGAGTTTTGAACAAGGCTTGTCCAAGACTTATTAAAAGCACTATTAAATTTTTATTTAATATAGTACCTTGTGAAATACCATATAAATATATTTAAATATTACTTCATAAGTATCGTTTTATATCAAGTGGAACTAAAATAAACTTTTTACTAATTGAATGAATTTATAAACATAACCTCAAAAACGCACGTGTGACACCTGTCATTTCTTCTAAGAGTTTTGACAAGCGCATATAACTTTTTTACAATTGTTTCAAAATATCTTATTTTGTTATTAAGTAAAATGCTATAGCATCCACGTGAAGTACTACACTTCTATTAAGCAATCTGCTTTGTCCATGCTAATTAGTGATTACGGGAAAAGATGAGACAACTCAAAAATACCTTAAGAATGAGTTTTCCCAAAGTCATCACCATTATCATATTTTAATCGTTATATACCATGAATGCTACAGCATCCACGTGAAGTACTACACTTTTATCAAGCAATCTGCTTTGTCCAAGCTAATTAGTGACTACGGGAAAAAATAAGACAACACGAACATACCTAAAGAATCAGTTAGTCATTATCTTGACATGAATAATAATTAGAAAAACCTAAGGTTATATAAAATTAAATTCCAAATAATTGACTTTATAAATCACAATTCAAATGAATGCTATAGCATTCACGTAATTCAACTTTTACAAATGAATTGAAAACTTTCCCTGATATAACATATGTTAAAAAGTATTTATTTATATATAAATGCTGTAAAAAAGTATATTTTTCTTCACATATGCTCTAAATTAGTTGTTTGCAGTTATTTATAAATATTGAACTGTGTTTGTTGACTTGAGATATTTATTTAATTATAAATGTTGCATTTTACATAAGTAAGAAACTGGTAACATAAAAAAGTATATGTTTGTTCATAAATGCTCTAAAAATGTACTATTTATATTCTCTCCGACAAGCCTATATAACTTCTTTTACAAATGTTGCAGATAGTCTTTTGTTTTTTTCAGTTAGTTATTTGTAGTCTTATATATAAAAATGAATCGCAAAATGTGTTGGTAAGCCTAGACAATATTAGAATACCCCGTGTTGGTAAGCGCATAACTCAATAACGCCTGGACCAATTTGGCCAATTATTTTTTTAAAATGTTTGTTAAAGTCCAAGGATGGTTCTTACGGCGAGAAAAAATCTAATAATTGCCGGGAAAACCCTAAAAACAGGCCTTTTCTTTTCCTCATACAAACGTGTTCTAACTAAAACGTAGAATCAATTTGAGCTCTATTGTTATATAAAGTTCATATTAAATTGCAAGCACTCACTGTATACTCCTTCTAAACGATTATTCGGATTTTGATAAATCGTTCTAAAGTTTGTTAAGGAAATTTTCTAGGATGTATGTGATTATGAAGTACTGGGATGTATGTGCAATATTGTAGAAATAAATAGAAAAAATGGCAAAAACGACATGTCATTGTTTGCATTGAAAACAAATAAAAATTATCATCTGCCAAAAATTTCAATTTACTTATGAACCTAGACAATATTATATTATGTATAATAAATTTATGATTATGAATAAGAAAAATGAAATGTTTACATTATTATTGCCATAAAGCAGCTGAAATGTGCCAGAAATTAAAATAATATAAAATAGAGAATATGTATGGCAGATTGAATGATACACATATAAACACGTTATGACAAATTAATTTACTTAAAATATGAAATTAAGTATTAATCAGGGCCGGTCCTACCTTTAATGCGATGCATGCGAAAAATACGTGGGCACGCCTTAGGGGGCGCCAACACAAGATTCGGATATTAAATTTTCAATATAGTTTTTTTTTAATATATCTTAAATAATATTTTATTATTTAATATATGAATATCTTAAATACTAAAAAATTTAATTAATTTAATCCAACATAAGTACCAGTGTAAAGCTATGGTTATGGTTAGATTATTACTGTTTAAAAGACTTTAATTTCCAATATAGTGTTTAAATCATCATTTTATTTAAAGCAGTTCTACATTTAACATCGCTCATATATAAGAAGAAGAGTAATTTAAAAAAACAATAATAATTATTTTTGCGTAAACGGTAAATATTAGTATAGTATTATATTAAAATATTGTAGACGTGGTTACAGGACAACGTCTGTCGGGTCGTCTAGTTAATCATAAATATTAAACTGTGTTTAACTAAAATTACTGAAAGATAAAAAAAAAAGTTTATTTTAGTTTACTGACACACTACAAGTGTAAAAAATATTTATAAGTGCTTGTTGTTTTTAAAACTATTATTCTAACTAAAACCTTAAAAAAATGATAAAATACTTTACCTTTGCTTCTGCAATACCTGTGTCATTACAAACCTATCGAAGTATCTTTATATATTTATTTCTTTTTCTTGATGTCTTTAAAAGTCTTCAAATTAAACAAGCCTTCTTCAAATGTTATAATCCTCATTTTTCTTTTTAATTGTGCTAATAATTTATATTTGATTCTTTTAATTCAAATTTGTCTGCTTTGGTAGTTTCTGTGCCATTATTAATCTATTCAAGTATCTTCTGGCACCTATAAATAAATAATAAGTTTAAAAAATGCTAAAACCTAATATCATTCCAATTGTTAAAAAAAAACTAAAGGCAAATATATTTTATATAAATATTTCTATTATTAAATACTATTTCACAGATAACTTTATCTAGATAAATTTTGCCTTTGCTCGAAAAAATGATAAAAGTGTTACTTATCAATCTGGATTTATCTTGTAATTTTTTTTTGGAAAATTGTATTAAATTTAATTCTTTAGGTAACTTTTTGTTCAAGACATAAAAATGAGTCTTTTGGAAAATAATTTATAAATAGAAAATCAAGTAAAAAAAATCATATTACATCATATTTAAATCCTTCAAATATTTATCTGGCAGAATGTTGACTTCGATTTTTTGATTATCTTGCAGACATGTCCTTTGAAATTGTATTAAATATAATTTATCTAGATAACTTTTGTCTAAACAAAAAAAATATATTCTTAAATAAAGGGATAAAGTTAGGTTTTATTTTTGATTTTTGTTTCAATAACTTTTTTTTCCGAGTAAAGGCACATTTTGTGTTTTAGACAAAAATCATCTAGATAAAATTATCTAATATCTAATCAAAAATATAATACGATTTTAGAAGACATCCTACAAAAAATCACCAAAATTAATATTTCAAGAATTTTGAAAAGATAAAAAATATATAAAAGTACGTTTTTTTCTTTAATTTTGTATCTAGAACTTTTTTTCCATGATAATTATTTTGTTTCTGACAAAATTTATTTAGATAAACTTATCTTCAAATGAATTTAATAAAAACCAATTAAAAGAATTCTCATAAATAAGAAAAAAAAATCACAAGATATTTTACACAAGAATTTCACCAAAAAAATTACAAAGTTGTTTTTTATAAGAAAGTTATCTAAATAAAATTATCTTCAAAATGGTATAAAAAAATATTCAAGGACTCCTGCATTTTAACAAAAAAATACAAAGTCGTTTTTTTGTTTTTTATAAGAAAGTTATCTAGATAAAATTATCTTCAAAATAGTATAAAAAATATTCAAGGACTTCTGTATTTTAACAAAAAAAATACAAAGTCGCTTTTTTGTTTTTTATATGAAAGTTATCTATATAAAATTATCTTCAAAATGGTAAAAAATTCTTTAAGGCCTTCCATATTTTTAAAAAAAAAATACAAATATCTAGATAACATTATCTCTTCAAAATGGTATAAAAAATCATTCAAGGACTTCCATATTTTAACAAAAAAATACAAATATCTAGATAAAATTATTTTCAAAATGGTATAAAGAATTATTCAAGGACTCCTGTATTTTAACAAAAAAAATACAGTCATGTTTTTTTGTTCTTTATATGAAAGTTATCTAGATAAAATTATCTTCAACATAGTATAAAAAATTATTCAAGAACTTCTGTAATTTAACAAAAGAAGATACAAAGTCGCTTTTTTTGTTTTTTATATGAAAGTTATCTATATAAAATTATCTTCAAAATGGTATAAAAAATCATTCAAGGACTTCCATATTTCAACAAAAAATACAAATATCTAGATAGAATTATTTTCAAAATGGTATAAAAAATTATTCAAGGACTCCTGTATTTTAACAAAAAATATATAAAGTCACGTTGTTTGTTCTTTATATGAAAGTTATCTAGATAAAGTTATTAACAAATTGTATAAAAAAATATCAAGGACTTTCGAAAACCTGTCTTATAAATTTTCTAAGAAATCTGAAGAAGTTAATAAAAAAAGGTTACGTTACCTTTTTCAGTATAGGTGCTATAATTTAGTTACTTTCTCTTTCATTTGTTTTTATCCAAAATATATTAATGAATACCATTATCTAGATAATATTATCTAATTATATCATTAAAATTAATTCTATTGTTTTTTACACCAACTTGTACGTTTCCATCCTCATTCACTAATAATGAAAACTTAAAATAATAAGATAGAAATAAGAAAGTAAAAAAATTATTTATTTTAGTAAATCTACTTACCATGCGGCTAAATATAAACGTGGGCATCCTGGGCCACGTGGACGCCGGAAAGACATCCCTGGCAAAACTCCTGAGTGAAATTGGCAGCACAGCTTCCTTCGACAAGAATCCACAATCCCGCCAACGTGGGATAACTTTGGACTTGGGCTTCAGTGCTTTATCTTGTCCAGCACCTGAACATCTACAAGATAGGTACAAGAAGGTCCAATTCACCTTGGTCGACTGTCCTGGACATGCCAGTTTAATAAAAACCATCATGGGTGGAGCGCATATAATAGACTTCATGTTGCTGGTAGTTGATGTCACCAAAGGCTTCCAAACCCAAACTTCTGAATGCCTGATTATTGGTGAGATCACTTGCAAGAAGATGATTGTTGTTTTGAATAAAACTGATTTGTTGCCACAGAAAACGAAACGAGAAAGTATTAACAAGATGCGTAGGAAGGTTTTGGCTACTATAGCGCCAACGGAGTTTAAGGGATCACCAGTTGTCGCTGTCAGTACAGCTGGGCACGAAGGACTCCAGGATTTACTCCAATGTATGATAGACTTTATTACTGTTCCCCAACGTAACGTCGAGGATCCTTTCCTGTGTGCTGTTGACCATTGTTTTGCAATTGTAGGAAAAGGAACTATCCTGACAGGTACTATTTTACAAGGCAACATCAAAGTAAACGACTCTATTGAAATACCTGCTTTAAAAACCCAACGTAAAATCAAAACTATACAAATGTTCAAAAAACCATCGGAGAAAGCTTGCGCTGGCGATCGCATAGGCATTTGTGTACCCCATTTCGATCCAAAATTATTCGAAAGGGGCATCATATGTTGTCCTGGATATATAAAAGAGGTCCAAGGGGTTGTTGCTGAAGTATACAAGATCAAATACTATAAACAAGATGTTGCAACTAAGTCCAAGTTCCATATTACTTTAGGACACACCACAGTTGTTGCTGTTGTCACCTTTTTTGCATCAACAACAACAAACCAGGACTTTAATTACGACGATCAGTATGAATATAGCTTCAACCTCACTGATGACGTAGGCTCCAAAAAACAATACGTGTTGCTGGAATTTGCGACTCCTGTTTTGACCCAAGTGGGGTCAACTTTCATAGCCTCCAAATTAGACACAGACATCCACACCAGCGCGTGTCGTTTAGCTTTTTGGGGCACCATAAAACAAACCTTCAAAGACTTGGACAAAACAACGTTATCCAAACTCAAGATATACAAAGACAGATTCAAAACAGGTATTGTAGAACGTGCACCAAACCAATACGAAGTCATAGCTAGAAACATGTTTCATAAAGAAACAGATCTACAAGTTTTTATTGGTTTAAAAATAACTTTGTCAACCGGTGAGCATGGTTTTATCGAGAGCACGTTTGGTCAAAGTGGTAAAGTTAAATTGAGGATTCCTGATGGTTTGGGGGAGAAGACTTTTGAAATGTTAAAGGAGAAGAAGAATAATAGTTCAGGTGTTAAGCAAGAGGCTGTCGAGGTGTTTTTGAGTTTTAAGAAGTATATATATGATACTACGAAGAAAATTATACAATAAGGAAATGGATAATTATAACTAATATTATATATTTTTATGTTACTTAAATAAAAGACTTAAATAAATATTGTAATTTTTTTTTTTTTTGTTGAATCAATTTGTATGAAGGTGATGCCATCAACAATAAATTCAAAAACAGACACACGATTAATGCAACCTTTTTCATGAATTTATAGAGCAAGATTAACAAAAAAAAAAACTAATGTACCACATCCAGATTTTTCACTCATTTCAATCTCGTGAGAAAGTAATGGACTATAGTGCTTGCTTTTTCACCCATTTCAAACATATCAAAAATCAAATACTCAAGTAAAATTATTTTAGAATCATTCAAATCGGCTGAGCCAAGCTCTTGAAATCGTCGACAAAAGATTGTATCCGCACATACATACATACATATACACATTCCACCAAAGACCAACGACCATAGTTTTTAGGCCATTTCAAAAATCAAGTACTCAAGCAAAATGATTTTAGAATCATTCAAATCGGCTGAGCCAAGCTCTTGAAATCATCGACAAAAACACTCATACACACCCACACACACACTCAGATCTATTTTTTCTAAGGAATGCCAAAATATTCAGAAGGCTGACGTATTTATCCAAAAATGTAATATTTTTTTATATTTATATCATCATGTGATTAAAGGAATAAATATTTTGTTCAAATTTTGCTTTTTATTTTTTGTAATTTTGTTGCTTATATATATATGGCCTTCATAAAATTTATTAAATTCTTTGGGAATGATTTTTTTGTCTTCGATAACACTCAGATAACTAGGTATTATATATATATATATATATATATATATATATATATATATATATATATATGAAAGTTAAATACAAATTATCACTGTTACGTAACAAAAGCCACACATACAAAAAGCGGTTTTCACTTGATATTATATTTGAAAATTATAATTTCAAACTTGATATCATGCTGCTTGATCGGATAAAACCAAGGACTAGTTTGTGCTAGCCCACGCCCTTAACCACGGCGGGCTCAATTCTAACAAAAAATTACTTAATATATCAACTATAACCTCTAGTGGAAATTTGATATGATACTTGATATCAAGCAGGCCGATGTTAGAAATCAAACCAGGACTAGTTTGTGCATAAATACACAAATATATAAGGGTAGAAGTATGTGTTAAAAATATAAATTAAGCAGAGCTCAAAAAGAAATATTATTTTATCTCGGATTGATTTTATGGGCCGATTCTGCCGCCCTACAGACCAATGTTATGGCAAGGCCATGTTACGCTCCAACTTTAATACATTATGCTACTGAATGATACTGGATACTGTCAAAATGACATGTAATTGCTGTACATTCAGGCGTTTTACACATAAACTGCAACGTCACTTGTATGTTATGAAGCTAGGTCAGAAAGGCCCTGTTATCTAAGATCGTTATCGTTAGGTTAGATTTTCTATCTGACAACCTGAGAAAAACGCCTAACTGCACAGCAACCACATGGATTATGTCAATATTTAATATGGTAAGTTCTTCATAACATAGTCTTGCCATAACATTGGTCCATTAATTGTTGAAAGTTTTTTGCTTCAAGTAGTGTGACTCGAGTTTTATAACAATATAATTTGTATTTACTAATTTTATATTCTAAGCTTATTTACAATAATTTTTAACAACTATTTTTAGTATTAATTGATACAATATTGTGTTGCATATGTTAACAGCTGCGTTTTGTTCGATTAACGACAAAATTAATGTCGTCTATATAATTATCAGGATAGAAAATATTTATATAAATAAAATTAATATAAAATACGTATATGTATATAAATTAAATATATATATATATATATATATATATATATATACTTTTGTGATGTATTTTGTTATTAGAAACATATAAGTGTTGTGCTCAATTAAAACAAGGAAAAAATATTAAATAAAAATAAAAAGCTTTAATAAAGTAGCAAATTTGTGATAAGAGATCAAAAAAAAATCTGTGAAAATTTATAAAATATCGGAAATATGTATGTTAATTATAAAAATTATACAAAAAGTAAAAGTAGAAGAAAAAACTTCTTGCCCCAGATAATATCAACAATTGGCCTTTGCACAAAGCACTTATTAGTTCCATAATTTAAATATATATTTTTTTAAATAATATTACGCATTTAGCACCTACAATTAAAATTAAAAAATATTTTGATGTATCTGTGTGATGATTAAAATAATATAATAAATTAAAACTATACACTAGATAGAATTTTTACATTTACACTTGCACGTTTTTAATAATTTATAAATATATCTATCTATTACTATGTATATATATAAATATACATATATATGTATATGATATACATAAATATATATATATATATATATATATATATATTTCTAATTACCTACAATCTAATGACAATCAATCATAATACTTTTTATAAAACCTTTTTTCATATCCCAGTCTATACCGAATTGAAATATCATAAAATATTGATAAAACCTTTGATCGATTATAAAATAAAAAATAAATATATATAATTAGTTTACCTTGATAAATGTTAAAATTTATGATGCAGTATTTTTTGTAGTTTGGTTATTAAAAAGTAGCCTTCAGTACTTGTATTTGAATGTCAATAATAATAAATTAACTCACAAACCTTGTATTCACACCAAGAATAAAATTATCACAATCAACAGAATTACAGACAGAACTCCTATCGCTATCCACTGTCGCTTATCTAAAACGAAAAAAAAAATTAGAATATATATATATATATATATATATATATATATATGTATATAAATCTGCTATCACAGATGGATAGCATTTTCTTATTTCTTTGCTCCCAAGGGCTCAAATTCTTCCAAATTAATAAAAAAAATCTAATTATCAGTGTTAATTTGCCATCAAAATTACAAGTGCTAAAAGTCTGCTATTACAGATGGCGCAAGAATTTACTTAATGAAATATGTGAATAATAAAAGTAAGAAACTTAATTGATTTGCGCACTGTCTAAATGTTAATATTAAGAGGTAAAACTTTTAGAGATTTTTTTTCTTATTAATTTGGAAGCATTTGAGCTCTTGGGAGCAAAAATATTAGAAAATGTCCATATTAAGGACCACCTTAATATATATAGATATCTTATATATAAAATTCTCGTGTCACAAAGTTCGTTCCCGTAGTCCTCCGAAACGGCTTTACCGATTTTTACCAAATTTTATATGCGTATTCAATAGGTCTGAGAATTGGTAAATACCTATTTTTCATACCCCTAAGTAACTTGCTTGCAAGATTTGTTCACCCTTAAATTTTATCTTCAATTTTTCGTACAATTTTTTGTTTATTTTTCTATTATGTGGCATTAAAAAATAGATACAACCCTAAATTTTTACTTCATTATCACCTACCCCTATTTTTAACTTCCCGTAGGGCAAGTTATAGTAATCGCAAAAAATCGAAAATGAAAATTTTTATCTATCTTTACGTTTTGGAGGTTTCTGAACATTTTGGTATACTTTAGAAAAAATAGATGTATGTGTATGTGTGTGTGTATGTGCCTGGCAAATTTTCGTCGACGATTTCGGGAACACTGGTCAACCGATTTGAATAATTCAAAAGACATTCGATTCGTATTGATAAGGAGACGTGCTAATTAGTTTTTGGCAAAGGCAGGTCGAGCCGTTTCGAAGATACGGGACAAAAAATGCAAAAATGATGATTGATTTTTTGAAAGAACGGAGCATCCGATTTGTATGTATCAGAAAATATTTTATTTGTATTGTCAAAATGAAGAACTGATCATTTTTTTGAGATTTCGGAGCGGTTTCGGAGATCCAATAAAAAATGAAAAAAATGCCATTTGCCAGACAAAAATGATCATTAGACATATGCACATCAAATTAACACATATTTTATAGAGATTTTAGTAATAAAAATTTTGTTTACTTTTCTATGAGTTCCGTACCAATGTTTATCCGATATACTGCGACGTGGCGCCCACGCGCTTTTATATTTCGTTCTACGCCACTTTGAAAAAAAGTTCAAAATTTCCAAAATATTTCAAAGTATAAAAAAATCAAATCTTTCAAAGAGGTTAATTTGGTTAAAAAAAATTAAAAATCTCTAAAATCGATTTTTTCAGAGTTTTAAAACAAAATTGAAAAATTTTAATTTTTGGTATGGGAAGCTCTAGCAATTTGCCTTGATGCACGATACCATGCACCACTACTTTTTCGGAACTTTCCGTGTCATAATCAAATATCTTGGTATAGAATCCAAAAAAATTACACAAAATGTGTACACATTATTAAAATTTTTATAAAATATCTGATAAATCGATGTACATATGTCCAATGAACATTTTTGACCGCCAATTGACATTTTTTTAACTTATTTTTATTGAGAGTCCATAACCGCTAAACCTGCCTTCCCAAAAATTTAATCAGTTCTTCATCTTGTCAATACAAGTAAAATGTTTTTTGAATTATTAAAATCGGACGCTCCGTTCTCTTAAAAACTGAGGAACCATTTTTGGCACTTTTTGCCCCGTATGTTCGGAACGGCTAGACCTGCCTTCGCCATCAGCACGTCTCCTTATCAATACGAATTGAATGTTTTTTCAATAATTCAAATCGGTTGATCGCTGTTACCGAAATCGTCGACGAAAATTTGTATCCGCACACACACACACACACACATACACACACACACGTACACATACACACACACATACATCCATTTTTTTTCTAAGGTATGTTCAGAAACCTTTGAAACGTAAAGATATATAGAAAAATTATTTTCGATTTGTTTGTGATTACTATAAATCACTCCACAGGAAGTTAAAAATACATTTTCCAAAATTTCCCAAATCCCTGTTCAACAAATTTGATTACTCACCATTTGATAAATGCATTGCAGTGGCTATTTTCTTCATTGTTGAATCTAATTTGGATTCGGTCCCTTCAATTTCATGTCCAAAGTCATCGAGCATCCTAAAATCCAAAAACAACATCAAATACCACATAAAAAACATCACCTTACCATTGTCCATTATCCTTACACTGCTTGTTCATCCAATTCCGCCCCAATCTGTCTCGACACAGTCTTTAAAGTTCCTATAGAATCCGACAGTACATCTAATTGTTCATCCTGACCTCTGATCATCCTTTGTTGTAAGGACACATTCTCACCAACAATGCTGTGAGAGGGGCTATCGAGAAAGCCACCATTGCCATTTCGAGAGGCATAATGTCTGGGGCTCATGTCATCGATGTTGTTTTCTAGTTTTGAGTATTTTGTCGAACTGTGTCGAGGTTGCTGGGAACTTGAGTTGTTCATGATTATTGAGGTTGAGGAGTTTTCTAGATAAAGGAGAAAAATGATGTTAGAAATTCAAAACGGCTTGACCGATCTTAATAAAATTTTATAATTGCATTCAGTATGACTAAGAATAGGATAACATGTTTTTTTCATACGCGCAAGTAGTAAGGGTTGGCCGCCCTTAAGATTTTTTGGGACATTTGTTTAGTTAAAGTAAAACTTCTTTAGGCACGACAAGGGTGCAAATCCGTGCAAATGCAACGGAAGTGCGTTACGGCAGAGTCGAGTGCCAATGTTTCGTCATTCGCTCTCGATGATATTATTTCCATACTGGTCGATTGTGATTAGTCGTCGTGTATGAGAATAGAGATCTGTCGTTGTATGCGTACCGTCATCAACGTTGTATACGTACCAATATCAACAAGGAAATCGGCATAGATAAATAAACATTTTAAAGTTACATCGTACTACAAATCTTGATTTAATGAAAAATACCTGAATCAGAAGAATATTTTACCCTGTTCCTTAAAAATAACAAAACAAATTAAACATTTGTGCCATGTACTAAACGTAAGTTTATTGATTAGAAATTATTTCTATATTATTCGTAGTTTCTATAAATCTTTGAAGTTAATAAAATGGAATGAGATTATATCGCCAACGAAAAAGTAAAAAAAATACCAGCAGTCAATGCATGTATGTTGATTTTAATTACATGAAGTTCTTCAAACAAAATTATTACATGATGAGTGAAGTTGCGAAAACAATATTTGTTTAGACGTTATTTAACATAATCCACTATTTAAACAAATATTATAGAATTTATTAATCAACAATTATTTAATTTCTCTAATGAAGATTCATTTCTAAATGCTAATTGCAATGACAAACCGATCATGTCATATTTGAAGTATGACTTTAGTTGCATTATTGTTTTTAAATATTATACATATTTTTAATGCTATTATAAATATATAATTTATAATTTATCATTATATAAATGTGTATAATGGTTGTAATCTAATCTAATAATAAATAAATAAAAAAATGGTTTTTTAAAACAGAAAACTTTTTTCGGTTTTTTATTACTTTTTGGATTCTTTGTTCGAATCTCTACAAAATATTTACAAATCCAAGACCTACCATCTGATATATATATAATATATATATGTATATATATATATATATATATATATATATATATATATATATATATATATATATATATATATATATATATATATATATACTTCTCTTACCTAATAAAGGTGTCCTACTGGATCGATTAAAACTCATTTTATCTTTCATCGATTTGACTTCATGTCGAGTGCTGTCTATGAAGTTCCTTCGACTAGATAATTCTCTATTGTCAATTTTAAACTTTGAAGGATTTTTCTCTACAATACTTATATATAACATTAAGGAAAATATTTAATAAAAATACATAAAAATTAAAATTCTAGGTTAACTCTTCGAAGACTAGGAGTGCAAGTTAGCAAACACTGTTCAAAGAACAAGTAGTTCTGATCGCTGTTAAAAAAACATCATAAAACATGCATTATACACAAAACACTGTTTAACTAGTGGTGTATGGGATCGTGCCTTAATGCAAATTGCTGGAACTTCCCGTACCTTAACGAAACGTTCGAGAAATATTGAATGTTTTTAAATAGATTATTATAAATACTGTAACATCGTCTACTATTTATTTATAACAATTATATAAACTGAATTGCAAAAATGAAATCATTTGTTTGAAGTATATTAGAACTTTAGTCAGTATTAAAATTAAAATCTGAATTATTTTCGATATACAAAAAAAAAAAAATTTGAACAAAAATTTTTTTTCCAAAAGCGATTACTTTGTTGAAACAGGCAGAAAGTTCTTTAATTTATTCAAAATCGACGCTTAGTTCTCTTAAAAACTGCCATTTTTTGCATATTTAGCCCGTTCATTTGTTCTAAGGTATGCCAAAATGTTCAGAAACCTCTGAAACGTAAAGATAAGCAAAAATTTTCATTTTCGATTTTTGGACGATTACAATAACTTACCCTACCGCAAGTTAAAAAAACGAACTAAAAAAATAAACAAGCACTTGATATTATTTCTACTATAAAATTATTTTTTCCAAAAGGATATTAATAGTGTCCTCTAGATCTTCAAGATCCCACTCGATACTTCTTAGGGCATTCCTCAGTTCAGTGGTGGTCCATTCTGCCTCAGCACTTCCGAGACTACTGGAAGCATCTCCCAACTCGAGCCAACGTAAATAAAGACCTCGAGTCTTGTTTAGGGCTTTGAAGACTTCGCTGTGAATCAAATTTAGAGTCTCACTTGTAATCATTGTAATAATAATGAAATCACTTAATTTTAAAAATTATAAATGAAGATAATATTTGCTTTATATTAGTAACATAATGTTTGCTTCAAAACATAATATATATCATTATGACTTCAATAAACAGTTTGTTTTGCAAACAAATTTTTGCGTTATCATTCTTAGACTGATAAGTAGTAGATAAATTTGATTAGTCTAATCTTTGGATATATGTTTATATATATATATATATATATATATATATATATATGTATATATACACACACATATATATATATATATATATATATATAAATATATATATGGTCTTTTGTCTATTCTGATCCAATCGTTATCAGAAAAGAACAAACTTTATCTATAATTACAAATATCAACATTAATTATAATAAAGCCAAATTATGAATAAGATTGTGAGAAACAGTAAGGATTTAAAAAAAAAAAAAACTATGTGGGGTGCATGGCATCGTGCCTTAAGACAAATTGCTGGAACTTCCCGTACCGTAATTAAAAATCTTGCTACGGAACCTGAAAAAATTTACACAAAATGTGTACACATTATGAAAATCTCTATAAAATATCTGATAATTTGATGTGTGTAAGTCCACTTTTAACATATTTTTATTGAGTGTCCATAACCGCTGGACCTGCCTTCCCAAAAATTTAATCAGTTCTTCATCTTGTCAATACAAGTAAAATGTATTTTAAATTATTAAAATCGGACACTCCGTTCTCTTAAAAACTGAGTTACCGTTTTTGGCATTTTTTGCCCCGTATCTTCGGAACGGCTAGACCTGCCTTCGCCAAAAACTAATCAGCACTTCTCCTAATCAATACGAATCGAATGATTTTTTAATTATTCAAATCGGTTGAACCGTGTTCCCGAAATTGTCGACTAATTATTGTATCCGCACACATACACAAACGCACACATACATACATCCATTTTTTCTAAGGTATGCCAAAATGTTCAGAAACCGCTGAAACGTAAAAATATATAAAAAATTACATTTTCGATTTTTTTGCGATTACTTTAACTTACCCCACGGGAAGTTAAAAATGTAATATTATTTGGCGTTAATTAGCCAGTTGTACTATATATGAACCTATACTATTCCTATCATTCATTCATTCATTCAAGAACTATTTGTAGGCTCCTTATTAATTTGTTACAAAGTCTACAAAGGGGCTCCCGAAGGACTTTTATAACAAGCCACACATGTATTCGTAGAAGAAAAGAGCAAAATCAACATTGTTTATATAAAAGCACTTGTTTTTTATGCCTGTTTTCCATAAATTTGGTTTGTTGAGTTGAAAGACGACTGTTTATTTATAAATTTGTTACAAAGTCCACAAAGTCTTCTTCGGCGAAAAGAGTAAAATCAATATCGTTTGTATAAAAGAACTTAATTTTTAAACCTGCTTTCCATAAATTTGGTTTGTTAATTTGGCAGACAACTGTTTATTTATTAATTTCTTACAAAGTCTACAAAGGGGCTCTCGAAGGACTTTTATAACAAGCCCCACATGTATTCCTAGGCGAAAAGAGTAAAATTAATATTCTTTGTATAAAATAACTTAACTTTTAAACCTGCTTTCCATAAATTTGGTTTGTTAAGTTGACAGACAACTGTTTATTTATTAATTTGTTACAAAGTCTACAAAGGGCTTTCCGAAGGCCTTATAAATTCAATTGTTATAACACATAATGAAAATACTAATTGTTAACACAAAATTAAGTATAATACAATGTGTAAACAAAGATAGAGTACTTGTTCAGATTATTAAGATTATCTTTTTTAACAAAAAAAAAAGTTACAAAACATTAAGAAGACTACAAAGCATGTATCAAGTGATTTTTCTAAAAGAAACATATGTATTTGTAAAAGACAAGAGCAAAACCATATTGTTTATATAAAACATGCTTTATTCCTATTTTTCATAAATTTGATTTGATTAATTGACACACAGAGGGACAGTTTATTTATCAATTTATTACAAAGTTTCCTGTATTTTCTCTTCTCTCTTGAATCATCAATTCTCTGCATTCTTCTTCTACCCAGTCCTTTTAGTTTATTTTACCTTTGCCGACGTCATGTTTGAGGCACTCTTTTTGCAGAAAGGGCCCGACACAGTTTTCCTTTCAGGATTGTTGTCAGTAAAGTTCTTTCTTCTCCCAGTACTTTTTCATTTGTTTCTTTACCATCTTCTCCAAGTTTGTAGACTTTGTAACAAATTAATAAATAAACAGGAGTCTGCCAAATTAACAGACCAAATTTATGGAAAGAAGGCATAAAAATATTGGGTTCTTGTATACAAAACAATATTGATTTTGCTATTTTCTTCTACGAAAAAATGTGAGGCTTGTTATAAAGGTCCTTCAGAAGCCTCTTTGTAGACTTTGCAACAAATTAATAAATAAACAAATGTCTGTCAAATTAACAAACCAAATTTATGGAGAGCAGGTATAAAAATATGAAGTTCTTGTATACAAAACAATATTAATTTTGCTCTTTTCTTCTACAAATACATGTGTGGCTTGTTATAAAAGTCCTTCAGGAGCCCCTTTGTAAACTTTGTAACAAATTAATAAATAAACAATCCTCTTTCAACTTAACAAACCAAATTTGTGGAAAGCAGGTAAAAAAAATTAAGTTCTTGTATATAAAACAATATTAATTTTGCTCTTTTCTTCTACAAATACATGTGTGGCTTGTTATAAAATTCCTTCGGGAGCCCCTTTGTAGATAAATAATAATTAATAAACAAACTGTCTGTCTTAGTGTCAATTAATCAAATCAAATTTATGAAAATCAGGCATAAATATTAAGTTCTTGTATACAAAACAATATTAATTTTGTTTTTTCTTCTACAAATACACGTGTCGGCTTGTTATAAAAGTCCTTCGAGAGCCCCTTTGTATACTTTGTATCAAATTAATAAATAAACAGGCATTTGCTAAATTAACAAACAAAATTTATGGAAAGCAGGTATAATAATATTAAGTTATTGTATATAAACAATATTAATTTTGCTCTTTTCTTCTATGAATACATATGTGGCTTGTTATGAAAGTCCTCCGTAAGCCACTTTGTAGATAAATAATAGTTAATAAACAAACTGTCTGTCTTAGTGTCAATTAATCAAATCAAATTTAAGAAAACCAAGAATAAAACTTGTTTTATACAAACAATATTGGTTTTGCTATTGTCTTCTACAAATTTATGTTTGCTTTGTTGTAGTATTTAATATAATGTAAATAAATACTTACAAAGATTCATATATTATTAAAAATGTATTTGTAAGTCCTTCGAGAGCTCCTTTGTGAACTATGTAATAAATTAATAACCAAACTTAACCAAATTTAACAAACCAAGTTCTTTTATGAAAACAATATGATTTTATCATTTTTTCTATAAAGTTATATGTTGCTTGTTGTAAATTCACTTGTAGTCTTCATAATATTTTGTAAATTAACTAAAAAAGATACCAATATGTATTTATTAAATTTATATGATCATATGCACAAGTTTTTGGGCTCCATTTACACATTATTTGAACTATATTCAATTTAGCATTGTGGCGATATCAAGCAGGCTGGTTTTACAGTTAATAAATTTATATTTTTTTATTATGTTGGGAGTTTCTAATTTAATATATTGTCATAATCATTACTACTCCCACAGCATCATTGTAATTGTATTTCTAAGTCCTCCTGGAGCCCCTCGATGGACTACTAAGATGATGTAAGAAAATACATAAACAAACACTGGTTTGTTGAAATTCTGAGCTTAAATGGAAATAAATATGTAAAAACATTTAAACAAAGCTTACCTAATGTATTTATAAAAGGATTTTAGTGTATGTTAGATAAATCATGATAAATATGCTTACATAAGTCAAACACAACAATTTTACTCACAAACAACTTTCACATTGCAAATTTCTCCCAAGTCACAAAAACACATTATAAAACATATAAATTAGTAAATATTTTACCTAAACTACAAAATTTTATCAAAAAGTTTCTACTTACTCTTTAACTACAAAAAATGGATCTTCTAAAGACATGTCAAACAACAAAAGATCTTATTATGGGGCCCTCTGGTAGCCCTTTTTATGCATAAAATCATCGATAATCACTCTTAAAACATTCGTACATTTTATTAAACAATTAATAACATTAAAAAATCAATTAATTTTGATTTTGTATTAATAGAATTATTGACAAACGTATCGAATATTTTATTCTAATAAACATGAGGGTTGCGTTAGGGATCTCTTGTCCTGTTCTGGCACAAAGAAGGGATGATTCATTTTGGGCGCGGGATTTAAAATTTTAAATATTACAAATTATTGAAGCTATATAATTATGTTTCATATTGTAATTAATATTGTACATACCTCAAATTTTATTATTTGATTACAAAAACATGACAGGAATCTTTTTTGTTAACACTTTTGCACACAAATATCACATATGTCACTAGTAATAATTAAATATTAATTAGAGTATTAAATAAGTATAAAATTATGGTGATTAAATAGATAAAATTTTATTGTTGTATATTGCATTCTTTGCAACTATTTAGATTAGTAATTTAGATTAGATTGACATTTTGGATAAATATAAAGTATGTCAGTGACATTTGACAGTTGGGCAAGATGGCCGCCAAAACAACTGTCATAATAATAATAATTTAATTTATAAAATCACTTTAAATTTGAATTATTTATACTAGATTGGCAAATAATAATCATGTTTATTATTAAATTCACTCTGAATCATTTTATTTATAAGTCAGGTCATTTTTAACTGTCATAGCTTGTTGACAGTTTTCCAATATGGCGTCCGAACTATTTTCAACATTTGCTCAAAATTATATTTTATATTTAAAATCATTTTAAATTTAAAGAACTTAAACGGCATAATTATTAATCATGTTTTTTTATAAAATTCACACTGAATCATTTTATTTACAAGGCAGGTCATTTTCAACTGTCAAAGTTTTTGACAGTTTTTCAATATGGCGTTCGAAGCATTTTTGAAATTTGGTTAAAATTATATTTCATATTTACAATCACTTTAAATTTGAAGTTCTTAAATTAGAATAGCAATTTTTATTCATGTTTAATAGAAAATTAACACTAAATCATTTAATTGATCACGCAGGTCTTTTTCAACGGTCAAGTTTTTTGACAGTTTTCCAAAATGGCGTCTCAAACATTTTCAAAATTTGTTTAAAATTAAATTTTATATTCAAAATCACTTTAAATTTGAAGCATTTTTATTAGTATAGCAATTATTATTTATGTTTGATGAAAAAAATACACTAATTCCTTTTATTTATAAGGCATGTCATTTTCAACTGTCAACGTTTTTTCATAGTTTTCCAAAATGGCGTCCAAAACAGTTTTTAAAGTTTAGGTAAAATTATAATATTTTATATTTAAAATCACTTTAAATTAAATTACTTCTATTGGAATAGCAAACTCTTATCATGTTTATTAGAAAAATTACACTAAATCATTTCATTTACAAGTCAGATCATTTTTATCTGCCAAAGTTTTATACAGTTTTTAATATGGCGTCCGAGGCATTTTCAAAATTTGTTTAAATTGCAATATTTGGTACTTGAAATCACTTTAAATTAAAGTACCTATATTATTATAGCAAATACTAATTCTGCTTATTAAAAAATTTAGACTACATCATTTTATTATTTATTCTTCTGCTAACGCGTTTTAACAGTTTTTCAATATAGCGTCAAAAACATTTTCAAAATGTGTTTAAAATTATATTTTCTATTTAAAACCACATTAAATTTGAAGTACATATTTCAAAATAGCAATTATTGATCATGTTTAATAGAAAATGTACAGTAAATTATTTTAATTATGAAGCAGGTTATTTTCAACTCTAAGTTTTGTGACAGATTTCCAATATGCCGTCCAAAGCACTTTCAAAATTTGGTTAAAATTATAATATTTTATATTTAAAATCACTAGATTGAAAGTACTTAAATTATAACAGCAAATACTAACATTTTAATATAAAATTTTAAATATTTATAATAACTAAATGAATAACAAATATAAAATAATAATCAAAATAAAACATTTCACAATTATATGTAACACAACGACTATTTAACAATATATTTTATACAATGTTTATATAAGTATAAGTATAAAAAATTATTTATGCAATATACATATGCTGTATATTTTTAAAGCTATATCATCATCAAATTTTATATATCAACTAATACTGATAACTTCCTTTACCATTAATTAAGAAAAATTATGGTAAAGAAATAGTTTAAAAAATATAAAATACATTAAACTTTACTTACTTTTGTTTATAAAAAACATAATGCTGTATAATGAAGAAAATATCAAATATCACTGAAAACAAACCGAGACCAAACTTGGTTGGATCACCAAAGATCGAAATCCAATCATCTACAAAAATATAATAATAATTATATATATATATATATTTATATATATACATATATTTATTTATTTATTTATTTTAATAATTACCAAAGTTGTAGGCATTCAATATCATCTGCAGCATGCTCAAAACACCACCAGCAATGTCCAGAAAAATGTTTCCAATGCTCCAACCAATTGTGCTTTTGCGTTCATAATTCATATAAGCCTTGAAAATTTCAAAATAAATAATAATTAAAAATTAACTACTTGAAATAACTCTTAAATAATGATAATAAAAAGCATAATGAAATAATCTACTGATATACTATTCATAATTCGTTTAGAATAATAATGAGCAATAGTTTAAGATTGTTATTAAATTTTGTATCATCTGCCAAACATATACTGTATCTTATATTATTTTGATTTCTGGCACATCTCAGCTGCTTTTCGTCAATAATAATGTAGACATTACATTTTTCTTGTATATTATATTCTAATATTACCTAGGCTTATAATTTCAGCTAAATTCAAATTTCAAGTGAATTGACATTTCGAGCAGATGACAGTTTAAATGTTTTCAATGTCAAAAATTTTGCTATTTATTTCTACAATATTACTACAGTTTTATCGTTCATTAAATCTTAAAAAAATCCTTTGACAAACTTTAAAAAGATTTATCAAAATCCGAAAAACCGTTTAAAAGAAGATTCAATTCATTCACCCGTACCAAAGAATTTTATACCGAAAGTCAAATATACTGATATGCTCATAAGCTTTTATATTGCAATGCTGAATGCGATATTTCACTCGATGATGCATCTAATGCATTTCAACGATCAATCACAAAAAATCCGTGCATTATTTTTATTCTTGATAACTATGTGTAAGATAATCGCATTTTTAATTAAAATTTTATCTGTTATAGCTAGTTTTTATATAAAAACTAGTGGGGTGCATGGCATCGTGCGCCTTAAGGCAAATTGCTGGAACTTACCGTACCGTAATGAAAAATCTTGGTACGAAACCTAAAAAAATTTACACTAAATGTGTACACATTATTAAAATCTCTATGAAATATCTGATAATTTGATGTACATATGTTCAATAAACATTTTGAACCGCCAAATGACATTTTTTTAACTTATTTTTATTGAGAGTCCATAACCGCTGGACCTGCCTTCCCAAAAATTTAATCAGTTGTTCATCTTGTCAATTCAAAAAAAATGTTTTTTGAATTATTAAAATCGGACGCTCCGTTCTCTTAAAAACTGAGTTACCGTTTTTGGCACTTTTTGCCCCGTATCTTTGGAACGGCTAGACCTGACTTCGCTAAGAACTAATCAGCGCGTCTCCTTAACAATACGAATCGAATGCTTTTTGAATTATTCAAATCGGTTGATTGTTGTTCCCGAAATCTTCGACGAAAATTTGTATCCGCGTAAAAAAAAATTGAAAAACATTATGTATATTATTCATTTTACATTATTACCTGTGGTATGTATTTGATGATAGTTGTCCCCAGTTTAATATAACTGCAATGGTACAAAAAGTCCAGAGGTAAAATCAAGTCGACTGTCATAAGACACCAACTTGCTGAGAACTCGAAGAAGCATGCTGCCAATATTAACCGGCCAACTGATGACACCCTTTGGTCACCACGCTAAAAAAAAATATGTATGTAATTTTAAGATCCTTTTTCTAAATCAATTGTGTTCAGGACGATCTTAATGAAATACAGTAACTTTATATAAATATTATAAACTTTATAAAAACAACTAGCGAACCGGGCGAACTCCGTTTCACCACCAGATGGTTTCATTTTATGTAGCATTTCGTTTTCTGTTTAAAAGATGAAGAAAAAAATTGACTTCTGTTGAAATTGAATAAAAATTTGCACGATACACGTGATTGATTTGATGGTTTCCAATTGAAATGTTAGGAAACGAATAACTTATTTTTTTTACTTTTTTTGCACAATTTCATAGTGAACACAATGCTGGTTTGTCACATGAAATTAACTGACCAGAGAACAATGAGTAGCTATCAAACAAATGAGTAGCAGTCAAACAAAAAATTTCAGTTTGTAGTGCATGGTAAGTATCAGAGATGGCGCTGTATATGAAAAAAGATAAAATGTTTCTCGCTTTTCTGTTGAAATCCTTCTTCATTTTTTTTTTGCTATAAACCTTACGGAGTCCGAGACCTTTCCAGCGAATGCAAAATCGTCTAAATCGGTTCGTGCATTCTGGAGTTATATCGTCAGGAAGGAAAACCTGACTTATTTTTATATAACAGATAAATAATCAAATAATTAATAAATAAATAAATAATTTATAATATATATGTCTATATTTACCTCGTATATGAAACATTGTACAGCTGTAATAACAGTTGCAATAAAGGCATGAACCGAGAAGACCACATCATTGATTTGGACAGGATTCAGGCTACGAGGATATCTGGCAATGTATTGTTTCTATAAAATAATAAATGTTAACAATTACTAAAATAATCTGTACAGATTATAATCTATGAAGTAAAATGTTTAGAAATCTAACTATAAACTATATTGAAAATTTCATATCCGAAACTTGTATAATCACATACATCTTAAAAAATTCCCTTAACAAACTTTAGAAAGATTTATCAAAATCCAAATAATCGTTTAGGAGGTGTATATTTACATACATCATTACAGAAGAATTTAACATATAATATATATAGTAATTATTTTTACCTTAAATTTCAATATTTATTATTATTTATTACCTGCACTGTAGGAAAAGCGTACAGTCCGACATTAAACAAGGCATACATGGCAAATCCGACGACACTGAGGGTCACAAAATCAAAATTGAGACCCACGACGCTCTTACGTCTCCAATTGGTCACGATCTGAGGGTAGAAGGATATCGACCAGGCCAGGAAGTACAACCAGCCCACAGCAGTCGACAGGGTGTCGATCCAGTAGGCGCGCTGGACAACGGCTCGGAGGAAGGATCGGCCACGGGTCGAACTGGAAGAAAAAAATTATATTTAAATCACTTCTCGTAAGCCTATAATTTTTTAAAAGATTCGATTTCATTATCAACTCTATTTCTATGCGAAGTTCCATCAAAATCCTGGACAAACAAACCTAAGGATATCCCTGTAAGACTTTTGCATAAAAAACTGATAAAATGCTACTTTTGGAGTGTTGCTGCTCTGTAAGGATCAGAAACGTAGATTCTAAGGTGGCCGATAAAAGAATCAGCTGTGAACATATATACACGACACGTGTACCAACGTAATAAAGATGATACAATTACCATGCAAAGTTTCATAAAAATACTTATGAGTCTTTTGCACAAGATGATATTAATGTGCTATTTTAGAGTGTTGTGGCTAGGTGAGGATCAGAAACGTGGATTCTGAAGAAGGTGGTTGATAAAAAAGTCAGCTGTGAACATACACAGGACCAACGTGAAAAAAATGTAAGTTTCTACGAGGTTTTAAAATAAGGTCTCATCTTTCCCACCATCTCTGGATTAGCACGAATATTTCTAGACTAATACTGGCCAAATCGGTTCAGCCTTTTTCGAACAAAGTTTACTCTATTACCATGCGAAGTTTCATCAAAATCCTAGACAAGGATAACCTGAGGTTATCGTTGAAAGTCTTTTGCAGAAACTGATAAAGTGCTACTTTTAAGGTGTCGTAGCTCTGTACGGATCAGAAACGTGGATTCTGAAGAAGGTGACCGGTAAAAGAGTCAGCAGTGAACATATGCACAAGACATGTGTACCAACGTGTAAAAAATGTGAAGATTCTACGCGGTTTTAAAATAATGTCTCACCTTTTCCACAATCTCTCGATTAGCACGAGTATTTCTAGACCAAAACTGGCCAAATCGGTTCAGCCGATAAAGTTCTAATTTTATGATATTGTGATTCTGCACGGATCAGAAACGTGGATTCAGAAGAAGCTGGCTGATAAAAACACTTACCGTGTCGGTTGAACCTAACTCAAGGCTTCTCCGTACATTTTGGCTTAGGTTAGGCGTGCAGGGTAAGCGTTACGTATAGTTTTTTTAAGTAAAAATTTATTTTTATTTTTAAATACTTAACTAATACTTTGTTACCAATTCTGAAATTATTTAACTGCAACCTGGTCCATATACAGGTTGCTGGTCAGAAAATCATCATCATAAAGCCTGATTGCTTTCCGAAACAATTAATTGAACAATTTGCAGCAATTCTTTAAATTAATTGTCCAGGAAAGCAATCAGACTTCGTGATGATGATTTTCTGACCAGCATCATATATTATATATCAATCATAAACAATTGTTCCAATTATCTTTTGTTTTAATTTTTATTTTTTACCTGTTTTCATTATTAAAATCGCTAACATTGTATGTAACAAATGTTAACCCAGGACTCAATCCCATAGCTTCAATTTTGAATTTTTCAGAATTTTCAGGAGCCACTGCCTTTGGATATATATGTAGAACATTTTTATGGTCTGCTTCCAGGATCACGTATAAGGTGTCGTTCACATGATCCCTTAAAAATAAAATAATTATATTAGAATTATATGATAAATATATTATAAACAATTATAAATTATTTACCCAAATATTAAATAAAATTCTTTGATTTCTCCAACGAGAAGATTTATGTCCCGAGGAGAAATTTGCAACAACTCTTTACTTGAATTACTAAAACCTGCAAAATAATAAAAAATATTAATAATATATAAAATACTAGTTGATCCAGCAAACGTTGCATTCCTGCCTTTGCCAAAAACTAGTCACCACTTCTCCCAATCATTACGAATTGAATGTTTCTTGAATCATTCAAATCTCGATTAAAAACTCGAATTCTATTTTCTGCACTCTTTGCTTCGTATCTCCGAAACGGCTGAACCTGCTTTTGCCAAAAACTAACTAGCTCATCTCCCTAACAATAGGAATCGAATGTTTTTAACATCATTCGAATCGGATGCTCCGTTCTCTCAAAAACTCGATTTACATTTTCTGCACTTTTTGCTTCGTAACTCCAAAACGGTTGGACCTACCTTTGCCAAAAACTAATCAGCACATCTCCCAATCAATAGGTATCGAATGTTTCTTGAACCATTCAAATCGGTTGATCCTTGCGCCCAAAATCGTGGATGAAAAATTTTATCCATACATACATTCATACACACATTCATTTTTCTAAGGTATGCCAAAATGTTCAGAAACTTCTGAAACGTGAAGATATGCAAAAATTTTCATATTAGATTACTGAACGATTACTAGCTGGCCCAGCAAACGTTGCTTTCCTGTCTTTGCCAAAAACTAATCACCACTTCTCCCCATCATTACGAATTGAATGTTTTTAAATCATTCAAATCTCGATTAAAAACTCGATTTCTATTTTCTGCACTCTTTGCTCAGTATCTCCGAAACGGCTAGACCTGCTTTTGCCAAAAACTAATAAGCACATCTCCCTATCAATAGGAATCAAATATGAATCGAATGCTTTTTGAACCAATCAAATCGGTTGATCAGCGCGCCCGAAAAAGTGGATTAAAAATCGTATCCATACATTCACATTCATTTTTTTAAGCCAAAATGTTCAGAAACCTCTGAAACATGAAGATGTGCAAAAATTTTCTTTTTACGATTTTCGGCACATTACAATAACTTACTTTACGGAAAGTTAAAAAAGAGAGTGCGCGTAAGGTTCACACGCGATTGAAGTAAAACTTAATTGCTACTGTACAAGATGGCATTTAAGTGAAAATAAATACATCATAAAACAATTTTGAATAATGATTATTATAGTAATATGGTAACACTTGTAATGCACACATTTATTAGTGTCAACCATTATACAATTATATATTTATAATAGCATTAAAAATATATAATATTTTAAAAAAAATACAATTAAAGTCATACTTCAAGTATGACATGATCGGTTTGTCATTGTAATTAGGATTTAGAAATGAATCTTCATTAGAGAAAGGAATAATTGCTGATTAATAAATTCTATAATATTCGTTCACACAGTGGATTATGTTAAACAACGCCTAAACAAATATTGTTTTCGCAACTTCATTCATCGTGTAATTGTGTTTGAAGAACTTCATGTAATTAAAATTAACATACATTCATTGACTTTTTGTATTTTTTACTTTTTCGCTGGCGATATTTCATTCTTTTTACAGCTGTAATATCTGTCTTGCCTAAAAAATATCTTCCATTTTAATAACTTCAAAGATTTATAGAAACTACGAATAATATAAAAATAATTTCTAACCAATAAACTTACGTTCAGTACACGGCACAAATGTTTAATTTGTTTTATTATTTTCAAGAAACAGGGTAAAATGACACAATCGACACATCGAGAGCGAATGACGTACAGTTTGGGTGTTACGCATTTCCGTTGCATTTGTACGGATTTACACCCTAGTCGCGCCTAAAGAAGTTTTACTTAAAAAAAAGAATTGTATTTGTATACGGTTGTTAATAGTTTTAAAAAATAATTATCCCTTATAATGTTTATTAAAAAAGTTACTCCTTATAATATTTATTAAGAAATAGTAAGATTTTTAATAGATAAATAAGAAACTTACCAAAATAAAATACTAAGCACACTAAAACTTGTTGCAACTTCATTTTTTCAAAAAAATATTTTTTTATGAACATATAAATTTTTATAAAAATATAATAATATATTTAAATAAATTATATATGTTTAAGCATAATTTATAAATTATTTATAACTACTATATTATTAACTGTAATTTCCAAACGACAAAATAAAACTAAACGTCCAATTAAAATTATTGCAATAAAGCGAAACTCATAAAAAATTTCCAAACAATTTCGACGTCGAAAGAATTTCGCTTTGTTTATAAAGTAGTAAAAGAATAAATAATAACAATTATAAAAAAGTCAACAATAAGAAACGTTGTTTGTTAGAAACAAAAGGCGTAGATATACTTCTTTGGATGGGAAATTTATGTTTGCTAATTTTATCGTTTTTCGACGTTTCAGGTCATTCTGAATCGTTTGGCATCGGAATTTGAACTAGTGGTGCATGATATCGTGCCTTCAGGCAAATTGCTGAAACTTTCCGTACCAAAAATTAAAATTTTTAAAAACTTTGGAAAAAATGAGATTTTTGATTTTTTTTTATTTTTGACTTCATTTTTTTGAAAAATAACATATTTGAAAAAATGTGACTTTTTTGGAAAATTTGAATTTTTTTTTATACTTTAATTTTTTTTTTTTAATTTCGAAATATTTTGAAAAAATGTAACTTTTTTCAAGTCATTCTGAATCGTTTTGCATCACAATTGGAACTAGTGGTCCACGGCATCGTGCCTTAAGGCAAATTGCTGAAACTTACAGTACCGAAAAATAAAACTCTTTAAAAAACCTTTAGAAAAAATAAGATTTTTCAGAATTTTGACTTCATTTTTTGGAAAAATGTAAACTTTGAAAAAATTGGACTTTTTTGAAAAATTTGAATTTTTTTTATATTTCGTTTTTTTATACTTTGATTTTTTTTAAAAAAATTTTGAACTTTTTTTTAAAAATAATCGTACTGCGTGGCTGTTTTAGAGAAGAAATATCAAAGCGCATAAGTGCCGCAAAAAGTGAAATTTTTGAAATAAATTCCTTTTTTGAAAAATTTGAATTTTTTTTATACTTTTTTTTCAAAAATTTGAACTTTTTTCAAAGCAATCGTGATGCGTTGCTGTTTTAGAGTAGAAATATCGAAGCACGTAAATGAAACTTTTGAAAAAACTTGATTTTTTTGAAAAATTTGATTTTTCGAATTTCGATTTTTTTTTTGAAAATTTTGAAATTTTTTTCAAAGCAATCGTACTACATGGCCGTTTTAGAGAAGAAATATCAAAGCGCGTAAGCGCCGCAAAAAGTAAAATTTTTGAAAAAAAATGACTTTTTTGAAAAATTTGATTTTTCGATTTTTTTTTTGATAATTTTGAAATTTTTTTCAAAGCAATCGTGCTGCGTGTCTGTTTTAGAGCAGAAATATATATATATATATATAACTATTAGCAATAGTTAAACTATAATCAGTAGCTCCCAACGGAACACCACAGAACGTGCATATTATAACTTTGTATTCATCTTAAATCGCGCCGCAGAGTACTGCTTTTAATTTACTTAATGCCGGAATTTTTGAGTTTATAATTGTATAAATATATACTAGATGATGGTAAGCGGTATTCTTAAATTCCCATTTTTTGGAGTCTCATATCCTTTGCAAGGTAGAGACCAATAATCATTACATATTATCTAGGGCGTAAATAAACATGAATTCTAGGTCTAGGACTTGTATTTATTAGATCATTAAAATAAAATTGACGGCTAAATATCAAATAATGAAGTTTGAATTTGTACTGTAAACTTTAAAGAGGGAGGGGTATATCTTACATTGAGTAATTTAAAATTTATGTTTAATGAAGTTTCACTTCAAAAATTTTATATTGTGTTTTTATGACATGTTGGGTATCGTTAAAAAGGTCTTTTTGAATAGAATACGAATACAAAAATAACATTTTGAATTTCGTTTATTTTTTTCAAATAATTTTCAATAGTTACTTCTAACACTATAATTAGGCTGTATTTGGAGTAGAAATATCCAAGCGCGTAAGCGCCGCATCGCAGTTTAACGGATAAATATTGGTACGGAACCCATAGGAATATAAACAAAATTTGTTCTTGTTATTAAAATATTTATAAAATATCTGACAATTTGATGTGCATATGTCTAATGATCATTTTTGACCCCCAAAAAGTATTTTTTTACTTTTTTTATTGGATCTCCAAAAACGCTAGACCTGCTTTCGCAATAACTTAAACAGTACTTCATTTTGTAAATACAAATAAAATATTTTTTAAATTACTCAAATCGGACGCTCCGTTCTACCAAAAACTAAATTGCCATCTCTGGCTCTTTTTGTCCGTATCTTCAAAACTGCTAGACCCGCCTTTGCCAAAAACTGATCAGCACGTCTCCTTATCAGTAGGTTTCAAATGTTTTTTGAATTACTCAAATCGGTTGATCCATGTTCCCGAAATCGTCGACAAAAATTTGTATCCGCACACAAACACACATTTTTTGCAATTACTATAACTTACCTTATGGTGTATATGTCCTAGGGTTTCTTGGTTTTTGAAAACCGGTTTTAAAAACATCTCAGCTGCTTTTGGCAATAATAATGTAGACATTTCATTTTTCTTATTCATAATCATGATTTTGTTCTATACATATTCTAATATTGTCTAGGCTCATAAGTAAATTGAAAATTTTTGGCAGATGACAGTTTTCATTTGTTTTCAATGCCAAACAATGTCTCAAATATTTTCAATGTCAAACAATGACATGTCGTTTTTTGCTATTTTTTCCATTTATTTCTAGAATATTACTATATTTTTATAATGACATACATCCTGAAAAAATCCCTTAACAAACTTCAGAAAGATTTAACCAAATCTGAATAATCATTTAGGAGGAGTATACTTACATACGTCATTACAGAATAAGTTTATATATAATATAAGATATATATATATATATATATATATATACATATATAAATATATATTTACAATAAAACTCCAATTTATTTACAATTTTTAATATATTTCACTGATAAATAATAGTAATAGCATTTTAAATTTTTATGTTTTAGATTGTGTATAAAATTAACTATAATTACCCGAGTGTTATATCTACAAGAGTCCTAGAAGCACCTTTTCTTCACAAAACTTCACTCCAATAGTTTCCGATATTTACATAAAAACATGCATGGGTTAACATAACCCACAAATGTTCTTTTAGCATTATAATTTTTATCATATATATTTATAAATCTACCTCCCCGTGTATCTGTACATGCTCCAACAAATCAGCATTAGTATCGAAACCCTCGTTACAAATCCCACATTTAAACATCTTCTCTTTATGAGTCTTTTTATGCTGCATAAACCACGTCACAGTCTTAAACTCCCTCCCGCAAACATCACACTTATACAGGTACTTCTGTTTATGACTAAAACTATGAGCCCTCAACTCATCCCTATCAGCAAAGGCCTGATCACACTTCGAACATGCAAAAGGCTTCTCCCCTGTATGCTTCCTAGAATGGGTAACAAGTTCCCGAGTAGTGGCAAAGCCTTCATTGCAAAATGTGCAGTTATGGGCGAACACACCGAGGTGTGCTAGCATGTGGTTTTTGGCAGCTCCTTCGAACCTGAATCTCTCGTTGCAGACGGTGCATCTGTAAGATTGCCTTACGGGGGATTTTGCATCTATGTGGACTCGGGCGTGGGCTATGGCAAATTTCTCGTGCTTGAATTTTTGGGAGCACATCGTGCATTTGAAAAATGAATTGTGGGGGTAGTAAATGACTGGTTGGTTGGTGTCTGGAGTTGTTTGGGGGAGGTTTTTGCATGGGTTTGAAGGCTCCGGAGGACAGGATCTTGTATGGTGCTCGATTTCGTGGAAAGAAATTTGTTGTGAAGGAACATCTTAAGCACTTGAATTCTTGATAGGCTTGATAGGCACTACTTGAAGGAGGTTCTTGTTTAATTTCTTCTTCTATATCAATTTCTGGGTAAAGTGCGGAAGGATCTAAATCATTTTCTTCAATTTCATAAACTATTTCTTCCTTGACGTAAACGTTTTCCAACTTTACATCGGGAAGAATGTATTCGCCAATATTTTCATTCATATTTACTCACAGGTGTTAAATATTGCAATATTTAATTAGGCACATACATATTTATTATTATTATGTTTTATTAACTTAATAAAACAAAGAAAATAACACATTTCTCCATCGAAATGAAATTTATTTCAAAACATTTATTTGACAGCAAATTCAAGATGGCGGACATGGCGTAGGCAGACATTTTTTATTTACAAATAAATATAAATAATTAAATTAAACAATGTAATTATTTTTATTTATTATTAAATTAGGTGTAAGTGACATTTTGCCTTGAGGCAAGTTACATAAACATGTGTAAATAATCGACTTAATTAATAAGTATTTGGATTAGGACATACACGGTGTATGTCCTAAGGTCAATACCAGTGGTTCCAAACTTTAATAAATTTTTAACTTCAGGCAGGATAAGTGATATAAAAATTAACTAGTGGGGCGCATGGCATCGTGCCTTAAGGCAAATTGCTAGAACTTCCCGTACCGTAACGAAATGTTCGAGGAATTTTGAATGTATAATAGATTATTATAAATAAATATTGTAACATTGTCTAATATTTATAAGAATTATATAAACTTAATTGCAAAGTTGAAATTATTTTTTTAAAGTATATTAGAACTATAGTCAGAATTAAAAATAAAATCTGAATTATTTTCGACATACAAAAAAATTTTTTTGAAAAAAAAAGTTGAAACAAATTTTTTTTTCTAAAATCAATTATTTTGTTAAAAAAAGCAGAAAGTTCTTTGAATCATGTAAATCGGACGCTTGGTTCTCTCAAAAACTGCCATTTTTCACACATTTAGCTCCGTATCTTCGAAATGGATGGGCCTGCCTTTGCTAAAAACTAATAAACACTTCTCCCAATCATTACTAATTGAATGTTTTTTAGATCATTCAAATGGGATGCTCTGTTCTCTCAAAAATTCGATTTCTATTTTCTGCACTCTTTGCTCTTTATCTGCGTAACTGCTGGACCTACCTACGCCAAACACTGATCAGCACATCTCCCTATCAATAGGAATCGAATGTTTTTTGAACCATTCAAATCGGTTGATCCGTGCGCCCGAAAACGTGACTTGAAATTTGTATCCATGCATATACATTCACACACACACACATCCATTTTCTCTGAGGTATGCCAAAATGTTCAGAAACCTTCAAAACGTCGAGAAATGTAAAAATTTTCAATTTCGATTTTTGGCCCATTACAAAAATGAAAATGTTTGGATATATTTACGTTTTGCAGATTTTTGAATATTTTGGCATACCTTATAAAAAATAAATGTTTGTGTGTGTATGTATGTTCGAATACTATTTTTGACCACAATTTCGGGAGCAAGGATCAACAGATTTGAATGGTTCAAAATTGAACAATATTAAGATTTTTATTTATCATTAAACTAGATGTAAGTGGGTATCGTTTAAAAGGTCTTTTCAAGTAGAATACGGATGCTGAAATAAAATTTTGAAGTTCACCCCTTTTTTTAAATAACCTCCAATAGCAACTTGGTATACTTATAAATCACTCATAATTATATATATATATATATATATATATATATATTGTTTTCTTATTGATTAAGCCGGTTATTTTCACATACTTAAAGGTTCATGCAACTTTTTTTTAAAAAAAATACCCACTGTTAGTAAATTCAAATGAAGTTTTACTTCAAAAATTTTATATTGTGCTTTTATGGCATGTGGGGTATCGCTCAAAATGTTTTTGTATATAGAACATGAATACTGAAACAATACTTTTTATAAATAATCTCCAATAGTTACTCCTAACACTATAACAGCAACTCAGTATACTTATAATTCACTCATGAATAATTATAATATTGTTTTGATTAAGCCTGTTATTTCCACATACTGGAAAGTTTACGCAACCGATGTTCTAAAAATGTATTTGATTTAAGTCTGGACGTAAACTACAATCAGTAGCTCCCAACGAAACACCACAGAACGTGCATATAACTTTGTATTCATTTTAACTCGCGCCGCAGTGTACTGCCTTTAATGTACTTAATGCCGGAATTTTTCAGTTTATAATTATATGCGTATATATACTAGATGACAGACGAGGGTATTCTTAAATACCCAATTTTTGGAGTCTCATATCCTTTACAAGGTAGAGACCAATAATCATATCAGTACATATTGTCTAGCTAGGGCATAAATAAACATAAAGTCTAGGTCTAGGATTTGTATTTGGCAGATCATGAAAATAAAAATGACTGCTAAATATCAAATAGTAAAGTTTGAACTTGTACTGGAAACTGTGCGTAATTTGCCTTAAAATATACACTCCTTAAACTCAGTAACTTAAAATTCATGTCTAATGAAGTTTTACTTCAAAAATTTCAAATTATGTTTTTGTGGCATGTGGGGTATCGTTTAAAAGGTTTTTTTGAATATAATATGTATACCTAAATGAAATTTTAAATTAAACTTTTTATTTCAAATAATCGTAAATTAATATATTGAATTATTTACACATTCAAGGGAAATTCATCTGACTTGCTTTAACACAAAATGCCACTCACACCTAGTGACAAGTGTATTTATTGTGTGAACATATATACTATTATGAATATTATATATTATATAACACATAAATAGTTTTTAATTTGGTATATAACTATTTTCGTTTCTTAAAAAGTCTTAAGTGCAAATGGTATAGGTTTCAATAAAATCTTTTTTACTTACATAAATATATTACAATATATATATTAATCTATTATAATTTAAATATTAATTTTTAATTTATTTTACAATAACATCCTCATGAGTCTTCATATGATACGTCAACGAATTCTCATACTGTAACTTTTTATTACAAATTTTACATTTATATTCTTTTTTATCCGAATGTGTCCTCATATGTCGCACCAGATTACTAGAATCTGCAAAAGCCTTTGTGCAAACTGTACACTTGTATTTTTTTTCACCTGAATGGGTTTTGGAGTGACACGATAAAGTTCTGGAATGCTTAAACGACTTGCCACAAACATTACATTTGTAAGGAGTGTCATCAGAATGGTTTCTCATGTGGTAAGAGAGCCCTGTTATTGTTTTGAAGGTTTTATTACACAACTCGCATACAAACCAGTTGTCTTCTGTGTGAGTCTTTTCGTGTTTTATTAAATCTGTTAAACTTGAGAATGTTTTTGTGCAGTCTTTACAATTGTATATGTTATCGCTGTCTAAACTGTCTAAGTAGTTTGTTAATATACTTGCTGCATCATCAGGCTTGATCTCTTCGCTTACTTTATGTATTATTTTCATGTGATAATTTAAAGAACTTAAATATTTCAATTCCCTGCTGCATATGGGGCACTTGTGTCTCTTGTCATCAAAGTGTGTACGCATGTGCGATACTAAATTGCAGGATTGGTTGAAGGCTTTGTTGCAAACTGTGCACACAAAAGGCTTTTCACCAGAATGAGTGCGCAGATGTCTTGTTAAAGTCTTCGATTGTCTGAATTCCTTCAGACAAACTTTACATTTAAACGTGTCATCTTTCCTGTGTGTTTTCTTATGAGCTTGGAAATCTTCTCGTGATGTGAAAGTGGAGGTACAGAAGTCGCATTCGAAGAGGTCAGGTTCTACAATTGCAGGCTTTTTGCACTTTCTAGATTTCGTTCTTTGGTGTTTTTGTTTGCATAACTTTATATGGGTTTTGTATCCATTGCTAGAGGTTGTTGTAAAAGGACATTTTGTACATACAAACTCACCTTGTTCATTCTTTCTTACATTTTTGTCAAACCCATCGGAGTCGTAGCAAATCTCTTCGTCTTCTGAGAATGTATCCATTCTGACATCAACAAACTCTAAAGGATTCTCTACATTTTCAATACTCACAGATATATTTTGTAATTGTGATGAACTACTTACGTCGTCAACAATTTCTGACATTTTAACAACACTTAATTTCACATAATAACAACATTTATAATATATATATTTATTATTTTATAATATTTTCTACATTTATAATTATGTATTTAACATTTTTGACAGCTTGTATTTGACAGTTAATAAAAATAAAGATGGCTGCAGATTGTCAACTACTAAAACAAGTGTGAAGTATGCAGATTTATGATGGCGCAAAATTTAAAAATCGTAAACTTTGAATTTTTATTTTACATCATTTATATTTTTTATTAATTATACGATGGTAATATTTTAAATTACGTCTATAAGACCTATTAGTTAAAATATCAAGTAACTAGTTGTAAGTAGCCATAGATAAGTAAACATAATGTAAGTAGCATTTTGCCTTAAGGCAGGTTGAACATGTTATCAAAAACATAGCTGAATTTCAATTCTTATTGACTAAGTTCTTGTAAAGTTACTGAAAAATAAACATCAACAAACTCTAAAGGATTTTCTAATACTCAAAGATATATTTTTACTACTTACGTCTTCCATAAGATCTGACATTTTAACAACACTTAATACACATAATAACGGCATTTATAATATTAAATATAAATATATATTTAATATTTTGTAATATATTCAACATTTATAAATATATATTTAACATTTTTGACAGTTGATAAAATTAAAGATGGCTGCAGATTGTCAACGAGTAAAACAAGTGTGAAGTTTGCAGATTTGTAATGGCGCAAAATTTAAAAATAGTAAACTTTGAATTTTTATTTTACATAATTTATATTTTTTCTCTTCAATATTTTATGTCAAAAGCGAACGACGCGCATGTCAAACGCCATGTTCGTTCGTGCTCGTTCGCTAGGTGTGGCGCACCTTTATATTATCCATTTCGTGTTCTAAAAATACATTTTTTAAGTGTGAACGTTAACTGTAATCAGTAGCATTTGTTTCTTTTATTTCGTGTTCTAAAAATGTACATTTATTGAAGTCTGGACACACCACAGAACGTGCATGTATCCATTTTAACTCGCGCCGCAGATTACTGCCTCACTTTACTTAGTCCCGAAAATTTTCAGTTTATTTTTATATTTATACACACACATATATATCCAGTACATATATATCTTATATGTACTGGCTATTTGTTTCAATTTTTGGAGTCTCGTATCCTTTACAAGGTAGAGACCAATAATCATATCAATACATATTGTCTTAGGACATAAATAAACATAAATTCTAGGTCTAAAACTTGTATTTGCCAGACCATGAAAATAAAACTTCTAAATATCAAATAGTGAAGTTTGAACTTGTACTGGAAAGTTTACGCAACTTGTTTTAAATAATATACCCCTTATACTCAGTATTTGAAATTTAAGTCTAATGAAGTTTTACTTCAAAAATTTGATATTGCGTTTTTACGGCATGTGGGGTATCGTTTATGAGGTCTTTTTGAATAGAATACGAATAATAAAACAAAATTTTAAATTTCTTTTTTTTTTTTAAATAATCTCAATCTCCAATTGTTACTCCTAAAACTATAATAACAACTCAGTATGCTTAAAATTTACTCATACTGGGAATTATATATATATATATATATATATATATTGTTTTCTTATTGATTAAGCCTGTTACTTCCCTATACTGTCTACGCAACTCGTCTTCTAAAAATATATTTTATTCGAGTCTGCACGTAAACTGTGATCAGTAGCTCCCAACAAAACACCACAGAACGTGATAACTTTGTATTAATTTTAACTCGCCCCGCAGAGTATTGCCTTTACTTTACTTAGTCCCGAAAATTTTTAGTTTATTATATATATATATATATATATATATATATATATATATTAGTTGAATAGGAGGGGTATTCTTAAATACCCATTTTTTGGAGTCTCGTATCCTTTACAAGGTAGAGACCAATAATCATATGAGTACATATTGTCTAAGGCATAAATAGACATAAATTTTAAGTCTAAAACTTGTATTTGCTTCAAATAGTGAAGTTTAAACTTATACTAGGAAGTTTACGCAAATTGTCTTAAAGAATATAGCACTTATACTCAGTAATTTAAAATTTAAGTCTAATGAAGTTTTACTTCAACAATTTCAGATTGTGTTTTTGTGGCATGTGGGGTATTGTTTAAAAGGTCTTTTTGAACAGAATACGAATACTGAAATATAATATATTAAATTTCGCCCTTTTTCCATTTAACTAAAACTATAATAGCAACTCGGTATATATATATATATATAATATATATATATATAATTCACTCATAATATATATATATATATATATATATATATAATTCACTCATAATTATATATATATATATATATATATATATATATATATATGTATGATAAAATTGTTTCTTAGGCATCCATCCAGTAATTAAAAACGGTTTTATTAAAGGAAAATGTTTTTATTCACAGAACATACGTTTCGGGTTTTGATTTGACCCATCTTCAGTGCATACAAATAAATTTGAAAAAAACACAAAAACACACGAAATTGCACGAAAAAATAAATATGAAACAAAAAATTGATAAAACGTCGAGTTATGATAAATTTTAAAAAATTGTAAAATTAAAATAAATAATATATTTTATTATAAAAAAGCTTATTCCAAACGAACATGTTGTCAGCTTGGAGTATGTGTTACGTGTGACACATATATTTTTTAAAATTTATCATAACTCGACGTCTTATCAATTTTTTGTTTAATATTCATTTTTTCGTGCAATTTCGTGTGTTTTTGTGTTTTTTTTTTTCAAATTTATTTGTATGCACTGAAGATGGGTCAAATCTAGAACCGAAACGTATGTTCTATGAATAAAAACATTTTCATTCAATAAAACTGTTTTTATTGAATGTATATATATACATTATATATATATATATATATATATATATATAGTTTTCTCATTGATTAAACCTGTTATTTCCTTATATTGGACAGTCTACGCAACTCGTGTTCTAAAAATGTATTTTATTCAATTCTGGACGTAAACTGTAATCAGTAGCTCCCAACGAAACGGCATAAAACATGCGCCGCAGAGTACTGCCTTTAATTTACTTAATGCCGAAATTTTTCAGAATATTATATATATATATATATATATATATATATATATATATATATATCTATATATTAGATGGAGCGGTATTCTTAAATACCGATTTTTTGGAGTCTCGTGTCCTTTACAAGGTAGAGCCCAATAATCATATGAGTACATATTGTCTTAGAGCATAAAAAACATAAATTCCGGTACTCTTATAATAAAAAAAGTGTTTAATTTAATGTGAATTATAAATAAATATATTTTTTATATATATAAGCATAAATATATAGTGAGACTTATTAAATTTTACACATTATACACAAGAATTTGATTAAAAAATTAATTTATAGTAAGTGTGACTTATTACAATGCATACATAACTTATAAAATAATTAATATAATTTATCTGAGATGCAAACGTCCAACTATTTTAATTAAAACTACTTATCAATTATCAAAATAATCAAAAATTTGGTTTCGATTAAAATTTGAGAGTACAAAAATTACATCTAACTGGTAACTAATATATTTACAAGCGATACTCATATTTTTTAATTTATGGCACGATTGTAATAATACATCGAATAATAAATTTTAATAATATATATAATCTGAGAAGTCGAATATAAAAAAAGTAATAAATAAAAAAATATTGTTGTACGTAAACTTAATAATATATAAAGTAAGTAGTACTTATTGTATTTTATGTATTTAGTTAGTTAGAATCTATGTAATAGAATCACAATGCATCACCTAGTTTTAAATATAATTTATAAATAATTATATATATATATATATATATATATATATATACGAGTATAACAAATGTATTCTGAGTGGATAAATAGATATTCATTTGGAAATATGAACAAACAACACTCTTTTTTGCACTAATTTATTAAATAATAATTTTCACAAACGTTTCGAGACTAGGTTTGTCTCATCATCAGTGTGTTATAATTTAAAATTTGAAATTTGGAAACCTAAATTAGCATTATGTGTTATCCGTTACACACAAACCTAGTCTCGAAACGTTTGTGAAAATTATTATTTAATAAATTAGTGCACAAAAGAGTGTTGTTTTTCATATTCCCAAATAATATATATACGATATATATATATATATATATATATATATATATATATATATATATATATTGTATATATATATAATCATTTAAATTTTTGAATATTTCAATATAAGAATTATAGTTAAAGAACATTTTGCACGATTTATAAAAAAAGACTATCTAAAGTTTTATTGATTTAGCAATACGAGTTGTGTTAGGGTGGTCCTTAATATGGATATTTTTCGAAATTTTTTTGCTGCCAGGATCTCAAATGCTTCCAAATTTATAAAAGAAAATTCTCTGAAAGTTTTAACTCTTAATATTGACTTTAAGATAGTCCGTACTCCAACCAAAGCTTCTTATGGGTAAAATTCAATTTGATTTTTTAGAATTTTATAACTTAGCGACAAGTGAATCAAAATTTTGAAAATAACATTGTATTTGCTTATTTTGACAATATATAAAAAATTGCAATAAAAATTTGATATATTTTTTAAAATAAGTATTTACCTAGGAAGAAAAACCAAAAAAATTTGGTTGGAGTGCGGACTATCTTAAAGTTATAATATTAAAAGCTAAAACTTTCATAGGATTTTGTTTTATCAATTTGGAAGCATTTAAACCCCTGGGAGCAAAAAAATTTAAAAACATCCATATTAAGGACCACCCTGATATATTTATATATTTATTTGTAATAAGATATTTGATAATATTAAAAATAATCTTCAATACACATTTTAACTTCAAACATCAAATTTTAGAGGCTAATTTTTGGATAAAATGAAAATGCTATGTTACGGGTCTATATTCGTATCAATTGGTAGTCAGGAACTACTAAAAATCTGTATTTTTGTGTTTGATCAGGCGTTTTACACATAAAACCTAACTTCACATATGTGTTAAGAATGAGACAACATGAATTTGCACTTATGATAAAATTTTTATTTGAAACTTGGAGGTTAGGTTTTATGTGTAAAACGCTGGAACGCTCGCAAATATGTAGATTTTTAACAAATCGTGACTACCAATTGATACGAATATAGACCCGTAACATAGCATTTTCTTTTCCTTTTTTTTAGCATAGCAACTTATAGGAATATAGACCTGTAGAATAGCCTTACCATAACATTTCTGTATTATCCGAGAATTGAACCCTTAAAACGATAAAATTATATTATAGTATAGCGGGGTTCAAAGGTCCGCAAGTTAAAAGGTCTACCACCAATATTTCAATAACAAGTAAAGTTAAAAATTTTTCACCAAAAATATTTAAAGGGCAAAAATTTATAAAGGGCAAAAGATGTATAACCAGCCATAACCTTGATTCTTACAACTTTGCTATCAGAAAATAAACAGCAAATGTTTAAAAATCCAAAACAAAATTTTTTCCCTTGTTAGTCTTTTTGGTCGTGAGCACTGTTGTTTAGTTTACGAGACCTCAATATAATTTTTAAGAATACGTTATTTAATTGTTTTGTAACACATATTGTTAGTTTTAAGTTAGATTCAACAGTTTTTCATATAACCTCTATAAAAGCTTGCACCTGGGTGGGGTAAAAAGGACCAACTGAACCTTTACTCTTGCAAAGGTGTAAACAATTAAAAAAGTAAAAAGTTAGCAAAAGCAATTTTACAAGAGATAAATTAAATAAATAGTTATTCCAACTCTGCTGATGAGTATTTCTAAACAAAACACTAGATCAAGGTTATATACAGTGTTATCTCAGGAAAAAATGTACCCATGAAATTTACATTTTGCATTGGTTGAATATTGTAGCTATTATTTCGTAAAATCCCTTTAAAATTAAAAATTAGACATTGGACCTGTTTGGCCCCTGGTTGTACATGTTACCCAGCCTATGGGGTAAAAAAGACCAGGTTACAATTTTTTGAAAAACAGCAAAAAAATACATTTCTACACTGATGAATTAGCTGGTAGTTTTACTGAGCATGGTCAGATAGTTGTTTGTTTGATCTGTGTTATAATGTAGATTGGACAAGATTTTTTCTTAAAGTCAAATTCGACCTTTGTGCCCCGCCCTACCCTATAATTTTAATTTATTAAATTATCAAATATCTTATTGCCATTTTAAAAGTTGAAAAATCTATCAATCTATCTATTTATTGTCGAGAAATTGTTTGCAAAAAGCTATTCATATGAATTTATCAAAAACTTTTATACAATTAAATATTGAGATCTATTAAGGAAATATTATTAATATTAATTTAAATATGTATAAGTTTTTAATATATATACATGTTATTAATACTAGAATTAAGAGTATGATAAAAAAAATTGAGCTAACTATGTAATTTTGTGTGTAATACTTTATATACAGAATTAAAATTAATAAAAATTAAGTAATACTATAATTATATTGTAATTGTTGCTACTTAAAATAATAAATACTATATAAATATAAACGTACACATAGTAAGTGTTTTTGTTATTAAATCTAGTTTTAATGGTGACTAGGAAAAATTCCTATAAATTTTACAATTAAGTAATATATTTAATTTAAAAAGATGTTTGCAATCGATTGATAATATTGTAAGACTTGAATACATTTATACAACCAAAGAAAATCATCCCAGTAAGAAAGAAAAGTTAAAATAACGTAGCACAGAAGAAACGTCGTTACGTTGTGATGGTTACGTTATTAATACGTTTAGTTGTAACCTTTAATCGGCTTGAACGTAGATGCTTCGGTTTTGTTCGTTACGTGGCAGCTACGTTACAAGGTTTCATAGATTAATCAAACAAAATGGACGGTTTTAAGATTCATACCTTTTAACTATATTTTATTTAATTGGTTGTAAAACAAATTTATTTGAATAGTAGTTTAGTTATATTAAAACCTCAGCAGAAAATAAGATGCATCGTCTAATGATGTTACAATAGTAGCAATCGATTATAAACACACGATATAATATATATATATATATATATATATATATATATATTATATATATATATATATAATATGTATAATTAGAAAAGTATATATATAATCACTATCAATGTCTACAATAAATTTAGTCATTACATATTTTATATTTAAAGCTATGAATTAAATTAATTTAAAACTTAATTAAAATTTATAATATAGACAATGATAACAATTACATACAATATAAATATATATATATATATATATATATATATAAATATCATTTCTAATAGAGTCCCGGAGGAGGGTGCTTTCGCCTCTTACCTGCTCCTTCGCTAGGCAACAAGTGCTCCCTCAAAGCAAGTTCATAAGCCATTTGAAGTGAAACATCTCTGGGTTCATAAGATGATTGCATGACACGTCTGTCATGTTTGGCAGTACGGCCATTAGGTGTCACCAACGTTGCATAAGGCTGCAGTTTGCGTCTCCGCTGTTGGTTTTTGTGCCACCTGAATAAGAGGAAAGTAATTGATAAAAACCAGGGCAGAAAATGATAATTTATATTTATTAATTTTTTAAATTTTAGAATTCAAAAGACAAATATTTGATTTCTAAAAAAACACGAGTGCTTGCCATGTCGTCCGAACCTAACACAACGCTTTCCTATACAGTTTCTCCAGTTTTTACTTAGGTTTGGATATGCATGGTAAGCGTTACTTCAATATTTTATTTAACAAATGTTTCTAACTTTAGTTTCATTGTTATGAGCAGAACTAAAAGTATCATTTGTACAATGATTATAAAGAAACGCCCCGACCGATCTTTACCAAAAACTAACCACCAGCTGATAACTTTTGGCAACGTTTTTTTATAACGTTTTTGAATTTTGAAAATCTGTTCAGGAGTTTCTACAAAAATGTCGTCAGAACATATTTTGATAAACCAATATTAAAACAATTAAATAATCTTCCCAGGTATCATTTATTGCCTGTACCTGTCCATTTGTAGTTCATGCTGCACCACACTGCTGTCCTTCCTCTCGCATCCCGTGATGTTCTTCCACTGGACAGCAGGTGCTGCTCCCAACCTGGCACAAGACCTGGCATAAGCCATAAAAGCTGCACAATGACAACCAACAATAACAGTGGACATCTTAAAATCCCTGTCACTCTGCTGTCTACCCACATGCCAATCATTCACATCACTGTTCTTCCTCGGATCTCATAAAATCCCTCAAAATATCACCACTTGTAAATATACCGCCATGGGTTGTAACGCGTTTGGTGACAATGTCATCATCGTTGGTAAACAGACGTCTGTTGACAGTCCTGACAGTGGAGCTGTCGTCGGTTAGAAGTTTGAAACTGTTTTTGAGTATTGACTCAGTCAATATTGTTCTGTCACTTGTACCCTGGTTAATGGTGAATGGTGATGTTGGTGTGCTGATTTCTTCGTCGGAGATGCTGAAGTTGTCGTCGGATGACGGGTTGTCCAGATGGGATCGGGTTACTCGGCTGAGTTCCAGAGTGTGAGAGTCGAGGCGGGCTTGGCATTCGCAGACGTCTTGAGTGCAGGCGGAGATGAAGTTCTGGGGATTCAAACGACTATCGCAACCTCCAAATAACTAGAAAAAAAACAGATACACATATGTTGCCATCTACTGCAGTATTTTTCTTTTTTGTATCATTTTCCCTCACCTCGCTATCCTTTAACAATCTGCACTGCAAATTAGCCTGCTTTCTCATCCTTTTGTCACATTTGAAATCCTGATACCAAAAGTAATCATTTGACAAATCTTGCTTGGATTTATTCTTTCCATTCCCTTGTTGTTTATTTTTCTTCTGCTTATTCACAGAAGTCTTCTTCCCTTGCTGAGGCTTTTGTGGAAACCGAGGGATCGACGAACAAGCTTTTTTGCCGCCAACTCGCCAGGATTCGGCAAACTTGTGGATGTCTATCTCTTGAGCGGGCTGAGAATCGATGGACGATTCTAAAGGAAACATAGCAGATATAAAATATTAATTATGGTAATCATATATTAGATATGATTGGACTTACCTCCTCGACTGATCAAATCATCTCGTCCGATGGAATTGAAATTGCCGCAAAGTCCGCACAACTTTCCTTTGTAGTCGGTCGAAGCAGAAACTTCTAAAAAGCTTACGCCGTCCCAGAGTAATGATATTCCTGCAAAAAACAATAATAATAATAAATTAAATATGTAAAGGATTTAAATAAAATTACTCACCAATATTTGTATCCACTTTAATATTGCCTTCAGTCTTCTCAATGCTCAATCTATCTGGCATGAAAAATGGTAATTCAACTCGTTTCCCATTTACCTTGACTCTCTGTCTTCTGCCCAAATTCACTTTCAAATCATCTCCTGAAACGAACAAATTAACTTGTATAATTGCTAACAAAATTATTTACAGTCCATAACCTGGTTAATAAATTGGATCAACATTGAATAGTCTACAAAATAGTCCTTGAACAACTAGATATTAATTTCTTTTACCTATTCTGAGTGTTATAGTTCTTGTCCAAGCCGAAGCAGTCATGATATAAGCATCTCCATCCCTTCTTGACACTTTATGAGACAACCTGACTTTCTGTCCACTTTTAGTAGTAGAATCATTTTCATTCAAACGATCCAATTTTGCACCTCCAGAACTCTTTCCCAATTTTTGTTTCTTCACATCATCTCTTTTAAATCTTTCAAGACCAAAATTTTCATCTCTATTTGTTAGAATCAAATCATCCGTAGAAGAATTGTTGATCAAAATTGTGTCCACAAGGTCTCTTCGTGTTCTAGTATCAGGTTTTTTATTCTCCTTACGTCTCTTGACGCGCCACAAAAGTCTACGCGTGCCCCCATTAGTGACTCGTATAGAAAAAGCGCCTAAGCCTCCAGATGTACTGTTGGAGCAGTCTGCTGCTAGTAGATATTTACAAGACCCTCTGTGTGAGAAGAAGGCACCATCAAAAGTTCTGTAATGAGGGTCTCCAAATACTGTACAGACACCATCATCTACAAAAAACAGAACCATCAGAATTGGTTAAAAACCATTAATCTATATTCTTCTATTTACTTTCTACGCATTGGTGACAACATTGTCCAGGTCTTCTCATGAGTCTCTGTCCTGGTGGGCATATAGCAAATGCACTGGCGCCTCCTTGAAATGTAGCTCCTCCGTTTTGTGGAATGGCACCCATTGGAGTCTTCGGACAACGTTCCATAGCACAACGGATTTCACCACTTCTACACTGGCAAGATTTGCAAGCGTCCAGTTTCCACGAATCACCATCCTGAGGAAGAATTAATGATGGAAATCAATTGGTTATGATAGATTTATATTTATGCATATATACCTTGTATGTTTTTCCTTGGAATGTACAACTTCTTTTAACTTTCTCAGCTGGTGGACATCTTGGACAGCACATCGAGTTCAATCCATCATCATGTAACATTGCTAAGGGTCCTTACAAAAAAAAATCAAATTATATATATATATTCCTATTTCATAAAAAAATTTCCTCCTACCTGTGTTTCCACCAACCACCTTTCCCAAAACGCTAGCACCTCCTCCCATTCCAGAAAATTTGACTAGTTTCGTGGCTCCTGCACTTCCAGGAGCCCCTAACATCATAGCAGGCACCTGCACCTCCTGTCTGCACTCCAAAACTGGACAAGTAACCCTTTGGCATATGGAAGTCCCGTTGATACAAGTGCAGTTGCTGCAGGGATCAGCATCGAAAGAAGTTCCATGGGAATGGTAGGCGGTGTTGAAGAGACAAGAAGTTGCTGGAGGAAAAATAGATTGATAACAGGTGATTTTAACCAGATGTAGGGCTATTTCTTTCATTCACCAACCTTGTTTATCCATGAGGAGTCTCGCCTTCTCGCACTTGGGGCAGCATTCTCCGGGTGTTCTGATCTGGTTTCTAGGTGGACACTGGAGCACCGGGCAGGCTTTCTTGGAGCATGTAAGGCGTCCTCCAGAGCAGCTGCACCTCAAACAAGGGTCTTCGGGGGTTGTCACATCTCTGCCCTCCGTCACTTGCTGTCCATTGATCACACAACCTAAAAAAGATAGTAGATTGAGGAAGATGATTAGGCAGATAGTGGTATAAGTTAAAAATCACATATATACATATACAAAGATAAAAGATTACAAAATAGGAAGAATTGAACTTGGATTCCAAATTTACATTAGTAAGTGAAAACGGATATCACTGCTACATGATGTCAGAGTTTGAATAAAATAAGTCAATCAAATTCTTGAAATATTTATCGGAGAATAAAATATGGTCAAAATCGGTTAGGGCATACACTGTGTATGTCCTGGCGCCGTTCGTTGAATAAATTTTTATAATTGATCCTTTTTTCGTAGGCCTATAATATTTTAGAGTATTCATTTAGACCATGAACATTATCACTCCGTTACAATGTTTCACTTTCTATCATTGACTACTAAAAAAACGACCTGGCTGATCTTCACCAAAAACTAATCAGCAAGTTGCACATTTGATATCTTTTGATCAGTTCTTGAATTCTCAAAATCAAGAACACGATTTTTGACGAGAACGTTGACGCAAACTCTTGCACTTTTCTGCTAATTTAGAAAAAACGGCTCGACCGATCATCTCGTAAAATCGATCAGCACGAGTCTTTATTGATTTTGATCAAATGAATTGAATAGATTTTGGGAAAACGTCAAATTTTCTCTTACACACATACTTTGTGCCAATTTCAGTGTCAAACGATTCAGACTGATTTGAAGAAAAAAATCAGATAATCCATACTTTATGGCAAAATTATCACTTGTCCTTCAGTAATTTAAAATCATTATCCTGGTTATCTCTTTTCCCCTCAAAGCCACTTCACCCAAACCGAATAAATCATTTATTTGTAAGAACCTTAGGATCATTATCATGTGGGGGGTCCTTTTTTCAGCATCTTCATCTTCTTCTTCTCGTCCTGTATCATTATTTCAATTTTCATGTCCATCAAAAAAGAAACAATCGTCGATGAGATGATAAATAATTTCGAAGGGGGCTCCACGCCGAGATAAATATTAGAAGATGAAATGATGTCGTTAAAATAATTACACGGGGAACCCCCGCAACGCGCTGTTGCCGTAATTGAGGTAATGATGGCTTATTTAGATACATACACACACATATATATATACACCTAAGTCTGTTTTTACACGGTCTTTTTGTACACGGTTTTGATATAACACGGTTTGAAAATTGAATATTTTTAATTTTTTTACACGAATTTATTCCATTTAGCACGATTTGAAATTTTATGTACCTAAATTTTTTTTGTCAAATCAAATTTTTGCGAAGTATGTTCATATCACAAAAAAGTATTTGTGAAAGAAAAAAGTCCGAAACCATCGATAGTATCGATAATTTGCGAACACTAGCTTAAAGATTTTAGTGAATTCCCCTTTAGCGCGTACAAACAATTTTTACTGGTCAAAGCAAATGTGAATAGCACTAATTTAATTCTTGTTCTTAACAATTCTTGTTTTTCACCAATTTTAATAGGTTTTAGAGATTAGGAACAAATCACCCATTTTTGTATAAGATCAATGTCTTTTTTTACACGTTTTTTTTTTACACGGCTTCTTCTGGAACCAATCTCCGTGTAAAAACTGACTTAGGTATATATATATATATATATATATATATATATATAAATAATTATTATTGAGAGGGCAACCCAGTGGTCGACCACTATATATATTTAATTCGGTGCTTCGTCCGAAGGCAGGTACATGATCCAAGTATTTTTTAACAGCGACCAGAATTACATGTTCTATTCTAGTATTATTATTGAGAGGACAACCCAGTGGTCAACCGCTATATATATTTAATTAGGTACTCCATAGTTCCATAGTATTATTATTGAGAGGGCAACCCAATGGTCAATCACTATTCTTTTTTATGTGTAGACTATATTTACTAGATATGTATAAGTAACATTGTTGGCGTATATGTGTTGCAGCAATGCCTACGAAAAGCGATATTCACTTAAGATCATATTTGAGATCTAGTGCACCTCAAGTGGGAATTTGATATCATACTGCTTGATATCAAGCTGGCGGATGTTAGATCAAATCCGGGAGTAGTTGATATTAGTTACATCACTACTGACGCATCAGCCAAGTTGACTTAATAAGAGTTATAGATATTGCCTTTACCCATCGCAATGCAGAGTCACAAAAATAGTTTTTTTTAATTATAACAATATTTCTATCAAAGTGGAAACTGATGTTACTACTGCATGATGACCGAATCGTCCTGTTGATGCCTGCACTACTTTACCCTATCTCTTGCAATTTTTAAACCATTCGATTAACATGAATGAAGTATACGGGAGATTTGTACAAGATTAAATAATTTTATAATAATTAAATAATTTACAAGTTTTACTAACAAACAAGTCCCTAGAGCAACTCGATATACTCTAACGCTTTTCTTTTTATGTGTAGACTTTATATAAATATTAGATATGTATATCTAATAGTGTTGGTATATATGTCGTTGTTGCAGCAATGCCCAAAAAAGCGATTTTTACTTAAAATTATATTTGAGATTTATGATCTATTTAATATCGTACTGCTTGATATCGAGCTGGCCGATGTGGAATTAAATCCGAGAGTAGTCTGTGTTTACACCACGACATCACGACTGACACATCAGCCAACTTTTGACGTTTCAAAAAAAATATATTCTGTTGCCTTTACCCAACGCAGTCCACACTCACAAAAATAGCTTTTTTAATTATAACAATATTTCTATCAAAGTGGAAACTGATGTCACTATTGCATGATGTCAGGTTGTCCGAGTCGCCCTGTTGCCAGTGCATTACTTTACTCTATCCGTTGTAATTTTTGAAGCATTCGATTAATATGAATGAACTATACGGGAGATTTGTGCAAGATAAAATAATTTACAAGTTTTACTAACAAAAAGTCCCTAAAGCAACTCGATATACTCTAATACTATATATAAATATTAGATATGTATATCTAATAGTGTTGGCGTATATGTTGTTGTTGTAGCAATGCCCACGAAAAGTGATTTTAACCTAAAATTATATTTGAGATCTATAACCATTTGATATCATACTGCTTGATATCGAGCTGGCCGATGTTGGATCAAATCTAATTAACCAGTAAAAACCCTTGTAGAGGAGACTGGGTACGGTTGTACCATACCTATGCTGATTTTAAGATAGGGTCCAAAGAGAGAAAGATAAAGTATGCTTATCTATAAGTTCCTAAAATTGCAAATTGAATCCTATACATATAAAGTACTTGACAGCAATAACTTAAAAAGTTATCTACCTGCATGAATATTTGTGACTTCTAACCTATTTGATATCATACTGCTTGATATCGAGCTAGCCGATGTTGGATCAAATCTAACTAACCAGTCAAATAGGGGAGACTGGGTACGGTTGAACCATACATATGCTGATATTAAGATAGGGTCCAAAGGGAGAAAGATAAAGTATGTTTGTTGGAACAAGTTTATAAAATTGCAAATCGAATTGAAAAAGTACAGTGAAAAAAGTACTTAAAGTTATCCACCTACCTAAATATTTGTAACTTTTAAACCATTCGATTAATATAGATGATGTATTCGGCGAATTTGTTGTGAATTAAATAATCTACAATATTGTCTAATATTATAATGCCCTGCAGCAACTCTGCATACTCATAAAATACTATGAAAATTAAAAATACATACAAATGACAAAAATATATGTATATCTGTATATACAAATGTATGTTTGTATACGTACAGGTGTATGTATGTATGCATACATACATATATATGTATGTATGAATACGTACATATATATGTATGTATGAATACGTACATATATATGTATGTATGTATACATACATATATATGTATGTATGTATACATACATATATATGTATGGATGTATACATACGTATATGTATGTACATATATAAATATTTTCGATAATGAAGACCTCCCAAGAGAGAAGAAATTGAAAAACAAAAGATGAAGATTTTTTAGAACGTTTTTTCTTTGCTTTTAAATTCATTCATTCATTTTATTTTTTATTTATTTTAAGATTTTTTGTTCGGTCCGAACATTCTTTTGTTTTTTCATCGTCTCGGAGATAATTCTAATAAATCTTTTTTCTTCTCTTTTGGAATCAGTGAATCATTTATAAAACATATATATGGTGGAAATAATAATGATGTTTAACACGATTTCTCGCTTAATACGCCACTTTACATTGATCGCTGCACTTTGACATGTATTGCATCTCTTTGAATTATTTTGATCTTACTTAACTTTCTTTTTTGAAGTTTTGGTCTCATCTTTCCCTTTCTATTACAATTTATGAGTATACAGAGTTGCTCTAGGGTGTATTGTTGTTAGAAAAAATTTTAGATCAATTAATTTTGTACAAGCTTCCTGAACACATCATTCATATTAATCGAATGGTTTAAAAGTTATAATGCATACAACAAATAGTAGCGAGTTAATTTACGGTTGAAGTTGCAGCACTACAACGCATTTTTAAGTAAACCGAGTTGCTCTAGAACATTATGGTAAAAGATAATCTTATAGATAATCTTATTTTCTACAAATCTCTCTCACACATCATCCATATTAATCGAACGGTTCAAAAGTTACAAGAGAAACAGTAAATAAATGCATAGGCTCTTACGAACCATATAAATTTACGGTTTAAAATTTTCTGTTTTCCAATGCGTTTTTAAAGTATACCGAGTTGCTCTAGAGCATTATGGAAAAACACAATCTTATAGATAATTTCTCTATCTACAAATCCCTCTCACACATAATGTGTTGCAGAAATGCCCAAGAAAAGCGATATTTACTTAAGATTATATTTGAGATCTAGTGAACCTCAAGTGGGAATTTGATATCATACTGCTTGATATCGAGCTGGCCGATGTTCAATTAAATCCCAGAGTAGGTTGTGTTAGCACACGTTCTTAACCATTACATCACCACTGACAAATCAGCCAAGTTGACTTTCTAAGAGTTAAAGATATTCTATTGCCTTCATTCATCGCAGTGCACACTCATGAAAAGTTTTTTTTTTAATTTTAAATAAATTTTTAACCAAGTGGAACCTGATGTCATTACTGCATGATGTCAAGTAGTCCGAATCGGCCTGTTGATACGTGCACTACTTTTCCCTATCTCTTGTCCATATCAATCGAACAGGTGAAATGTTACAAGACACAAAAACTGCAAAATAATTCATCCAGTTACTCACCGTCACAAGTGGGGCAGCACTCCCCTTCCTTGGGGGGCCGTGGGTTCTCGCAGGGCGTGTAACAGGTGACCCTCGAAGAAGTGACGACCCCTGCCTCGCAAGACAGGGACACGCAGGGGTCCTTTTTGTCTCGCCAGGAGGAGTCGCTGAGGTAACGGGCCCCCTCGTAAGTGCACCCTGGAAAAATATATAAATTGAGTAAAATAAAAAAAAAATTGGGTAAAACAAATACTAATGGGCAATTCTGCCATAATAGAGCCTATTACATAGTGTTGTCATGGCAACACCATCTTATGCTTGTTTATTAATAGTGAAAATTGTGATACCTGCATCATCGCCGATTCTACCTTGCATGTTTATATGTAAAATACGTCTGCTAAATAGACACGTTCACAATTTTCACTGCCAATAAACAAGCACAGGATAGCGTTGCCATGACAACGCTATGTTATGAGCTATATTGTGGCAGAATTACCCCATAAATTTGTATTCGTCTTTTTGAAATCTTTACAGTGTTATGTCGCATGCCCAAAAGTGTTGCCAATTGGCAAGTTGCTCTTTTAGACAAATTTAAGCTTTAACGAACTTTAACATTATCTTATATTAAAAAGTAAAACTAGTGGCGTATGACATCGTGCCTTAAGACAAATTGCTGGAACTTCCCGTACCAAACAATAACAAAGCGCGTAAGCGCCGCGTCGGAGTCTAACGGATAAACATTAGTACTAAGCCAATAGAAATGTAAACAGAATTTATACTTATTATCAAAATCTCTATAAAATATCTGATAATTTTATGTGCTTATGTCTAATGATCATTTTAGACAGCCAAATAGTATTCTTATGACTTTTTATCGGATCTCTAAAACCGCTGCACCTGCCTTTCCAAAAATTCAATCAGTTCTTACAAATAAAATGTTTTTTGAATTTTTGCTACCTGAAAAATCGTCTTAAGCGAGTTGTACTCAATTATATTTTTATATTATATACTTTTCACCACATGGTAAATAAATATATTTATAACTTTCTCGAATTTATAACATTTTTATGTTGTACAACTTGTAATTTTTAGGCCTAACCTAAAATGTTTATACAAACTGTTATAGATATAATTTATTATATATGTATATATAACTGTAAGTGTATATATATATTGAATTGATGTTAATAAAAGAAATATTTGTTACCTTTGCATTTATAACAGCATTCATTTTTGGCTTTGACGATTTGCATATAACAGTTGTCGACAGGCGGGCACTCGTACTCGGGCTGACACTCGACGAACCCGTTCTGTCGAAATAAATACCGAAAATAAATCAAATATTATTACATAAATAAATAAATAAATCAAATTGTATATGTATAGATTTTGTTCATAATGCAATTGTTTATAATATAATAAATTGTTGGGAGATCTTAATATTTTTGTTGAACAACGAAACCTGCAGAGGCCATCTTGGTTTTCCAAAATAACACAAATTTTTTAAATTTGATTTGACCAATTAAAATAAAGAAATCATATATTATAATTACTAGTGTAATGTGATTCTCTATTTTTCTTCATAAAATTATACTAAAACACCCATATCATCCACCAACTTAATAATTTCATTATTAGCCAACTTCATAGTTTACATTTACTGGCAAACAGAAAATATTCACCCGGTGCTATCACAGAGTTATCAATCCAATTGATTCACACTAATGGCCGTTACATTAAGACTTCTAACTATTTGTTTCTTTTTTTGAGTTATTTCTGCGTAAAAAAACAAACAATTCAAGACTATGTTAACCGAACATATAAATAAATTAGGTAAATCATAACATAGATTTCGTTAGTCCATTTACATTTTGAAGAGAACTTATTTAAAAGAAGATTCGCTGAGGGGTTGTTTTTGCAGTTGTTTAACACAACAAATACGTGGTTTCTAAATAGCCTGTCAAAATTTATTTTAAAAAAATACAAAATCCCATCGTTATTTAATTTTTTGTAAATTTTGAACATGTGTTAAACAATGCACACAATTCAAGACTATGTTAACCGAAGAGATAAATAATTTAAATCATAACATATATTTTTTAAACCAAAAATTTTACATTTTAAAAAAAACTTAATTAAAAAATGATTCGCTGTGGGGATATTTTTGGAATTGTGGAACGTAACAAACACGTGGCACTGGACGAAACAAATACGTGGTTTTTAAATATCGTGTCAAAATTTATTAAAAAATGACAAAACCCTACCGTATGAATGAAACGTATGAATTTTAAATTTTCTAAAAACTATTTTTTATTGACGCCCGATCTTTAAACTCACATAATTATATATATATATATATATATATATATATATATATATACATATGCATGTATAGTGTATTATATTTACAATATTTGAAGAGTAAGTAATATTTTAAACAAACATAGCATTAATTCAAGTGCCTTTTTGCATCAAAGGATTATTTTAATAAGCCAAAGTCAACAACGAGAAGACATTGTTGCCGTTGCGGAATATATATTTTGTTTGCACACTTTGAATACTCTTAGACACACACTAACATATATAAATATATGTATTCTCAATATACAGTAGAACCCCGTTAAGACGTTTATGATAAAAATTATATCCCGCCTAATTCGCCGCCTTATTCATGTCCCTGCACTATAAAATATATTGTCCTTATCATAATATTTAAATTCCGCTCAAGGGCAGGAAAAACCCTGTTAAGACGTTTATGCCTGACATCATCACTGCACATACATATTGTCCCTATCATAATACGTTTTCTTGTTTAAGACATCCTTTTGATCCGGTTGAAAATGAACCTCCTAAAATATTATAGGCCTAGGAGACGCGGTTTATTTACTAAAAATAATTAAAGTGTAGAAAAATCGGTTGTGAGCAATACAAGGGTTTCAAACGAGATGGTCAAGTGGTCAAAGCGATGGACACCCAATTTAATATTTTTTAAAGACGTTACTTTATGAAAATATCAGGTTTTTAGTTATAGTCTTGATAGATGGTCACGTGGTTAAGGCAACGGACACCCAATTTAATATATTTGAAAGGCGATACTTTATAAAAGTAATACGTTCTTAGTTATAGTCTTAATAGTATAATATATATATATATATATATAAATATATATATATATATATATATATATATACGTATGTGTATGTATATATATATAATTATATGGCGTCGTTGGAAATATTGAAACATATGTAAACAAGAATTTTGCATAAACAATTAATTAAATAACTTTATTATTGTCTAATGTCAAAGCCCAAGAAAAACCAAAAATGAAATCTACATGACATATTTATACATATTTATATATATACTTATGTATGTATGTATATATAAATGTATAGTACCCGGATCTCTTCACGAATATATGTAGTCGAATAGGCGCCAGGCGCCTAATATATACATTTATACAAAAATATACAAATATATACATATATATATATATATATATATATATATATGTAAGTAAAAGAATTTTTGACTATGTAATAGTTTCCATTACATATCTTAGTCTGGAATGAAATAATGTTGAAAATAGTAATTATGTTTTATATTAGTTTTTATGCAAGCGAAAAATACTTTATATAACTCGTATTATACATTTATATACTTATATACAAGTTATATGTGTGTTTGTGTTTAAAAAATTTAAACACTGCTTGCAAACTGCTTGAACATAACCTCAAACAAAAATTAATCGTAATATTATTAAAATTCAACTTATGAAAAATAAACATATACGCAGAATAAATTATATACATCTGTAATATTTTTTATTTTTTATGCTTTTTAATAATGTTATGCACGACTAGAAGATTATTAATATGTCTGTCGTAATGATCTAAAATGTTTTGTTAGAAATATTGAATATATTTTAATTAATTTAGAACCTATGAACATAAACATTAATATATTGTGTGTAATTAAATTAAAAAGATTCAATATATTAACTATTATATGAATTTTTAATAAAAAATCTTGTTCGGACATCTTTTCGTTTTATTATATTGGCCATGAATGTGACAAACTTCAGGGCATTAAGCTTTACACGGGATGGTTGATACCCCTGGTAAAGGGGATAGCGGATTGTTTTAATTGAACTAGTTGTTCACTTCAAAAAGTAAAGTCCGCTTAACAACATGTAAATAACCAATAAAAATAAATATATCTTCTTTCATTATAACTTAGTAACAAATCAGTGATTGTAATTAGAATTGCAACAAATACATAATATACAAACAAATCAGTGTTTAATACAGTCCACAGCTACAAGGGTTAAATTATAATCCAACAACCTGAATTATCGAAGGAGAGTTTTAATAAATTCTATAACTACGTAAGCAAAAGTACAAATCTAATAAGAATTAAGTTAAATATTATTTTTATTATTTTTGAATATTGGCTGTATATTATTTACCCCAATATGGGGCCCATATTGGCAACTGTTGATAAAACAATATAGAGTAAATATTGGTTAACCAGTATTTTGCCGATATAAAAACAATATTAACCCTTTGCTCTCAAATTAAATTTGGAGTTAGGTATTGTACTACTCAGAATTAATTTCTGTCGATTAAGCAGCAGGAAAACATAATATGCAAATTTTCGATGTATAAACAAAAATCTCGGCAGAAATGTTTTAAATCGCGGTATTAACTATTTCTTTGAAAATATTTATTAAATTGAAAAACTATTGGTTAGGAACAAACGTTAATTAAGCACTTTATATAAAATTTAAACCATTAATTTCAAATACTCGATATTACACAAGTAATAAAACTTTAAAATCAAGCTTTGCAAAATAGTGAAAATTGATTACTCATTCACTGGGATGACAAATTATATACAGGTAGATATGTATGAATATGTGTGTATATTTATAAAAGGGGCCCCCCATATCGAAGAAGTGCGCGAGCACTGTTCTGTATTGGAATGGTCCTTGCCGCGGGCTAAAAGTTACACTACAACGAAATATTTGCATATTATCATATTATATATACAAATATACAAATATACATATATATATATATTATATATATATATATATATATATATATATATATATAATAACCTTATTATTTTGACAGACGTACTAAAATGTATTTTTTCAATATGACGTAAATCATATAATAAAATTCACACAAATACACACACACACACAAATATATATATATATATATATATATATATATATAGTATATACATATAATTTATTTCTTTTATTAATAATAAATTCTCTTTACTTCATAAACCTAAAACGCAACATTTACGTTAATGTATAAATATTTTTGTAATTTATTTTTGTACTGTCCACAAATGTTTAAAAAACTTACATTTGAAATGCACGAGGAACAAGTACGGTCAATGTTTGAAATTGTCTCAATATATAATTGCTTAGTGTTGCCCAATGAAGAAAAAACCAAAATTTAGTGTTATATATATACATATATATATATATATATATATATACATATATATATATATATTATATTTATTTATTATATTATATTTCTTGTTATTTATATTATATTTATACATAGGGGCCAAAATAGAAGTTTTATGGTTCTACATTCGTATGAATAGTAATTCTTTGTATTTGCAGTGCGATCAAACATTTCACACATAAAACCTAACCTACAAAACGTAGAAACATGAAATTACGCATTAGCGTATCTTTTTAACATGAAATTAGGTTTATGTGTAAATCGCCCGATCGCGCATTAAACACGTATCATTTAGCACTTATTACTACGAATTCATATGAAGATAGGATCGTAACATTTCTATTTTATCGGAGTATTAGCCCCATAGTTTGGTATGGTGTAATGTTAGGATATGTTAAAATATGAGCCCTTAATGTTGCCTGATGGCGCAACAACATAATTTCTCTTAATGTTAAAATAAAAAAAAAAATTAATTGTAAAAAGTTGACAAATACTTAATTTATACAAATATACGTCTAGGATCTGCTATTATTATCGTAATAAAATAAGTATTGTGTGTAAACAAATATATATATAGTAAATTTAATAGTTTAAACGTTTATTTATTAAATTTAGTCGCTAGATTATATATATATATATATATATATATATATACATGTATAATAATAAGATTTGATAAATGTTGCAATACAACTGGCAGCTTTCTCTTTATACTAAAACAATCAAAGATCAAATTCTTACGCACACATATTAAAATTTATATACATATATATATGTATATATATATATATGTATGTATGTATAAATTTTTT